CTTTAATAATCGATAAATTAATTACCTTACACATATATTTTAAGCTATGTTAGATTTTATTGTTCATAGGATATTATTAAAATGCTTCATGAATCACTTCAGGATTATTGTAAAATTCATGGTAATTAACACTATGGCTCCTGTGTTTATTTACTTCATTAGATATAAAACTGTATTTGCTTTAAGTCAGTTTCATATTTTTAGCATATAATGCAACTATTTTCAGTCAATACTTTATTAGTAAGCTTGATATTAAATGTACTATATTAAATGTTCATGTAGACTCTTCATATTTAGTAATTTTTGCCTATCGATGCGATATTTTATAATATTACTTAGTTACTGCGAAAACTTATGATGTATCTAAGATTTGATAAGTAGTATTCAAATTCATTATCGTATCAAAAATTATCTAATAGGCAGAAAGTCTAAAAATGTTTAATTATAATTGATAAAGTTAAAAATAATTCTGCCAGAGGAGTCGTTCAAGAAAAGCATAGCCGAGTGGATAACTACAATTAATTATTGATTACTTTCATGATCTCATTTTGATATATTGATTGACCATGTCTTATTATTCTCAAATTTTGTCAGGAGTTATAATAATTTCTTCTTATTTATATGACAATCTATTGATCGCAATCGGAATTTAATAATAACGCAATGATTGGCTATCACTTTATGTATGAGATCCCATAGTCACAATAATTTTATCATATTAAATCATATCAAATTACGAAGTTATTGATCAACAATTCAGATTAAGTATAAGCGCACTTATCTCTTCACCCAGTCTTTATTTCAAATTAATAAGATTCACTATCTTATTCTATCAGCGCTTGTATTTTGTTTACTGATCTTCATCTGAATCATGAAACGCGTAGACTAAAATCTCTTTCTTTGAAGGCAAATTAAGGTATTTTATAATTTTATTTTTTGTTTTATGTGAACAGCCTTATTAAGTTGCTTAAAACACCGTACAGGAGTGATTAATTTAGCAATGAGAATGATAATTCTTGAAATGCATGCACTAATGAGGTACTGTTAGGTATTTAAAATAGTGAATTAGTCTTGGGTTACAGTTCATTCAAAGATCTTTTTTATTTATAAAATTAAATGAACAAAATTTAAAATATACTTAGTTACTTACTTCTAACTTTATTACATACCGTAATTCAAGATACGATGACTTTTAATATCATGCTAATTCTCGATTTGCTGCTTACGGTATTTAGTCTACTGGTAGGATTTATTTTTTAACCAAATTTATGCTATGTTAACAGTTAGTACTTTGAGCAATACTAGAGACATATGATAGGGTGGAGGTTAATATCCGTATACTTTAATTCTTTTTTTATTCGTTATCATTTGAATTTAATTTTATACTTTCCAATTTAAAATTTGATTTTATCTCGAATTTTAGATGATACTGTAGCGATCTACAGTTTTAAATCATATGTGCACACATAACAACTATTCATTTATAGCATTTAGAATTGTAATTCAAACTACTCAAATAATTTAGAAATCTACTTTAGTAAATTAAGCAAAATCTTATGAGTATTTTTATTAGCGCAGAATATTTTAATATTCAATATTTTCTTTTGATTTCTTCATTTGTGTTCTAGTAATTCCTTTCAGTCATTTCATGACTTGTGTAACATTTAAATATCAAGTGATACAAATGATCACAATTAATATTTTTTCTAAGTAGTTGCATCCCTTAGGTCTAAATTATAATAAATCTAGTCTGTCGTTTACGATAGATTAGACTTCGAACTCAAAAACAAAATATGTTAGAATGAGTTAACTTCAAATTTTCAATTTAATTATGCCTACGATAAAGCAATCTTATTGAAGCTAACTTTAGATTGTCAGCATTCATTTTCAAGTAAAATAGTAAATCAAAGGTGGTATCTTTTTGGATTAAACATAACAAATTATGATAATAATTAAGTTTTCATCAACTTTCATTCTCATACACCCACTTCTCTTCTTTCTACCTTATGATAAATAAGCATTGCATTGTACATCTTTTTCTCGACCTTTCCCAATTTATTTTTTATATTTAGCCATAGAGATAAAGCTAAAAGTTTTTGTTTATTATCATTAACATTTTTCGACAAGCTATCATTTAATACTTATGAAACAATAATGCTGTACAGGTGCACGAATTGTGTGATAACTTCTGCAAGCGTTATATTGAAGCATTAAAGACTCGTATGCCAGGTGATTTAATCATGAATCAACGACGAAATCCAAATACTGTGAAATTACCACATGAATTGGACGAATCACATGGTCAATTTCCTGTAGCAAGTTCGCAAGTAAGCTATTATTTTAAGTGTTCTATAGATTAAACATGAAAAGATGCGTCTATCTTGGCTGATCAAAAAAGTACGTGCTTAAAATGTGACTTATATAATCTATATTTGCATGTGCTTGTACTTAGTGCTAGGATCTAATTGATTATACTATTGAAACTTTTAAATTTTATACTACATATTAGTATCATTAAATATCTAAAGCTGCTTACATAAATCGCTGAAAGGTAAACTGTAATTATTTTGATTCGAGTTCTATATGTATTATTCATTTTATAGCTCGACTGATCCTTGTCCTACAATGTAATATTGACCTTTATCATTAATACCTGTTAAGGGTTGATAGGTTTCGATTGAGTTAGAAAGGGAAAAATCCTGATAGTCGTCATGATAATACTAGATGACGCTATTATATCTTGATTTACGATGAAAGATTTTCAGCTATCACTCACTTCTCTTACAGATTACGGTTAAAATTCAATTTAGTTTTTATCAAGGTGTCAGACTCTATTAATTATTATGCCTAGCGAATACATGGTTTGTTGATACAACAATCTAATATCATTACATTAATCTGTCCATGATTAACAGTTCTTCAATGCTTATTGGAGGTGCGGAGTTCAATTTTCAGAATTGTCCTTTAATATTTTTAATTTTCGTCAAATGCCATAGCAGTTGATCAACTTTGTAAGAAAAGGAAAAACTGGTTGAACTACAGTATTCTATTATGTACGAGTAGTTGCTTTCGGGTTTCTAATAGCAAGTAGACTTAAGATTCACTTAGTAAGCTTACTTAACTGTTCATAACTGATAAAACTGCAATGCGAAGAACATTAGTAGAATTTTTATACGAATACGATCATTTGAAAATAGTGAGTTCAAACAACTTAAAATATCCCTTAAAAGTCATTATGAGCTTGTTACCAGCACTACTCGTATCTATAACAATCTGTTTCTTTTATGATAATTTCACAAGATAATAGCCTAGATTATGATACATAGATATCACTTTTTCAACTGCAACAGACAATTTCAAATTTATTATCAGCGACTTTTATGAAGATTTTCGTAGCATAAACGGAAAATTTATACTTTTATTGTCCCTCTAACGGTAGATCAGACCTACTGAACCACATAACCAAAATATTCACCGCTTACGCCAATGTTCTAACAGTCGATGAAGTTATAATTGAATTGAAATCCAACTTGATAATTTCTGCAGTATTGAAAGTGTGAATTTAACCTTGCTCGTACACAATATGAATCTAATAGATAATTTAACTGCCGTGACTATCACATCAATAAAATTTACTTGGACTATTACTTTAATGCACTAAACGCTTTTTGCTGGTGTTCGAGTATTTCTGAAATATTAGCATATCCCAGAAATTTTTAAGTAATCCTGTTCTGTAACTTATTGTATGTTTAAATTATGGTGCACCTAAGTCAGTTCTATATCGGGCGGGAAACCGAGTTCGGATAAAGTGGAGTAGAATTTATTATTCATTTATCTCTAAGTCGACTACAGCACCTATAGTAATCTAATAGGATAAGATACATCATCTGTTTTGCCCATACGGTTTGTATCGACTTTTTCTTTCGGTGAGAATAATTTCAGCGTGACTATCAGCAGCCATTAAGCTTACAGTGTATTCTATACGTATGTCCTACATTTTAACTTAGTCTTGCTAGATAGCGTTAATAACGGAGGAATTAGGCGGTTACTTTGTCTAATGTAATCGTCTAGAAAATTAAATCGTGTCTATCTGCTATATCTGAATAATAATCTTATCAAATTTCGTAAAAATGATAACGTGTGACAATTTTGGCTACACTGCAGGGAACTTTCCGTGATCTTCTCGAAATGTTTGCTTTCAGGATCTTTATTGTCATTTAAAACGCGATCTTAATAATAAAATACCATCATTATTTGTCATATGTCAGTAACATTAACAAATTTAGCTAACTGATAAAAGAATTTATGCGTAATCACATATGTCATTGTATTCGCAATAATCGCCTAATTTCTCAAGATTTAGTCGGTGCATTATGATTAGTTCAATTGTATTCTTGTTGCGTTATACGTGCAGAACTTTTGTATTTGTACTTTGTGATCGGTTTCTGCTTCTTGTTATCGATACAAAATTATCAAAGTAGGGGTTATTTTATCTTTAACTCGGTCCTCCTATTAATATTATATTTTTGTAATTACTTATTCCACTAATAGCCAAGCAACATAACTAATTGGCCTATACCGCAGCATCAAACGCCCGCTCAGTCTTCCACCCATTCTAGTCCACTTAATGTAACAGGTAAGTGTTACAACACCGAAATTTGTGACGAGAAAACTTTAAACTACTAAAAGAGTTCTTATACAACTACAAATCTGCGGCCAAGCTTTTCCTTCCCAATATCTGCCTACATTACGACTGACAATTCCCCATTATTAGGTGTTTACTATAAACTTCTAGTTTCTCAAATAAAATTGAACCAAAACTTTATTGAAGATCAGTCAATCTATGGTAAAACTACATAAACATTGTCTAGCTATCATTACGGTACATATATGTTATACAACTACGCAATTAACTATAAAAACATAGAAGGCATCATAGATAAAGCATTGCTGATAAAATTTCTAAATAAGACATATACGAAAACTATGTTACAGCTGCTATGGAACAGATACTTCGTAACCGTAAGCTAACAATTTATTATAATCTCTTGCCCGCTAAAGCGCTATATTTTAAGAGTAACTGGCACTATATCGAATCTAGCATACAGTACAATAAATCCGAAGATCAGAGTATCAAACACAATCGCGCAAGTTTGCCTTCGACTTGATGTATTTTGATATCCAAGTAAAGAAATGTTCTCTCAACTTACTATCTGCTCTGCAATTAAAGCTTCGTGAAATAGTTCCGCACTTTTTGAAAGTTTGGTCGTAGTGAAACCAATACCACCAGCGTACAGTTACCTTATTGTTATTAATAACACCGTTTGTAAATAAGATTGACTACAATAATTAGCGCTGCAACTTAAATTTCTGTATTTAAAATTTTTATCAAATATGATAAATTGCTTGTATTTTTCATATTCACTGGTTGCAGTCATCAAATAGCTAAGAGTATTAAGAAAATGGGAGTTAATTGTCATCCAATGATTGCAGTCAATTTTTCTTGCCTCATATTTACGATATTAATTTGCTGTTATAATTTCACTGCTCTAGATGCAAATATCGATGATGATGATGATGACGACAAAGGCAACAAAAAGAGGAAGAAGAGAGGAATATTCCCAAAATCAGCAACTAATGTTATGAAAGCCTGGTTATTTCAAAACCTTGGAGTAAGATTTGCCCGATTGATACTGCTTTTCAACCAAATATTAATGTCGCTTATGTCCAGATCGATTTAAAAATTTGATAGAAGAATTTAAAAACAATAAGGATACGTGTATACATTAATTTTATAAGTTATAATTTATTAGAATGGCAGGGGTAATACAATAATTAGTAAATCGAAAATAACTTTCAGGCTTGGCAGTACTTATTTTTAAAATAAGCTGTAATTATATAATTGTCGCATACTCATACTATTAAATAATTTCCAATAGCATCCTTATCCATCTGAAGAAAGAAAACGAATGTTAGCTGAAGAAACCAGTCTAACTATTTTACAAGTCAATAATTGGTACTGTTTCGATAATATACAATTGACTGCAACAACACTTTTGAAACTCTTGAAGTTTGCTTTTAAAAAATCAACCATTAATACTTTAAAAATTTGAAATAAGGTTGTAATTATGCGTACGTTCGATTACTAAATATCAGTAATATGCCAGTAAATCCTGGGCATGTCCATGCTTCGTATTGCGACTTGGTAAAGGTTCTACCAGCCTCTTCGCATGTGCTGGTCTAGAGCGCAGACGTCAAAGCACACTGCTTACCCCTAACCCGTAACTGACTTTATTCTTAACTCTGCCACCTATTTATGCGCAAATCTTATTCTTTACACATACTGTATATTCGAGTATACAGCATAGCATACAGCCTAATAACAGTAATACAATGCAATACAGTACCAATACGTACAACAAATATTCATATAAGTGGTATCTTAAAGTTATCGTAATGTAGAAGTTATACAAATGTAACACTTCGTAATTCGAATACGATACTTTTCCCTGCCACCAAGATTTAGTTCATATTTGCTATACTGTATATGTCATAAATTAGTAGTTATTCTAAATTTGATTTAAGTGGAATTTACCTGAGATGCAATAAGTTGCAAAGAATTGACACTAAACTATAATTATATTTCAATTGCAGTATCTAGGTTAGCACTTAGGATTGAACGATTTTTGTATTGGATTAACTATTATAGTACTGCTCTTTAAGAAAATGAATCCTAGTTTAATACTTTACGTAATCCGCCATTATTCATTTCTGACAGTAATTAAGTCCCGCTAATCAGAACATATTCTATTTAGTGCATGAAGTGTTAAACTGTTTTTACTGTTTATTACTTTATGCCAAACATCAGCTGCATAGATACTTACTAGATTAATTGATCATGACGTAATAAATATGCATAGGTTTATTAACGCAAGGCGTAGAATTGTACAGCCAATGATCGATGCATCAAATCGTACCGGTAAACCACCTGTTATTATGAAATCGCGTCGTCGAAAGCCGTCTGGTCAGTGTCACCCATCATTTGGAGCAATGTCAGCACCGACATCGTCACATGTAGGACCAAATTACGGAATAGACCATTTGCAATCTCCATTTTATGATATTGGTAGTATACCAAGTGTACCCTTCAACATGGGAACATGTGGCTCTGATCCTGGCCTCAATCCCGTGGTTTCTATGTCCGCTATGCCCATTCCTCACGTTATTCGCGGTCCTACGACTAGTACCTCAGCTGGATCTCATTCATCTTCTCTATATCTACAGCATGGTCAAGCCACACATCACCCTATCATGATGCCGCCACCGCCACCAGTGCGCGGAGCTGGCGGTCCACATCATCATCCATTCCTGCAAGGATCAAATCAACCGCCTTCATCTTCAACAATTTTTCAATCAGGTGACGTTATGACACAACAGATTCTAGATTTACATCCTTCCTAAGATATCGAACGTACTCGAATGGAAGTGATACATAGTAACAAGTTATAGTAACAAATTGTGATCGCTTTCTTATAATGGCACTATTGAAATATTTAGTAACGATTTCAATGTAGTACTATGGAGTAGATCATTTTAATGATTTACTAGTACATAAATTATTTATAACAATTAATTTATTATTATTCATATCAAAACTAAGGGTCAGAAACATTTCCTGTTTATCTCACTCGATGAAGTAATCATTTTTTATCCGCTAGTAAAAGATAACTATATTGTGCCTATAAACAAATTTTAACCAACGTCTCAGTCGTTGCATTAAATTTTACCCTTATCTATTAATTAATAAACCTACATCCTTAGGCCCGATTACAGTACATAATGTAGCCAATTGGAAAAGTTATGCAGTTGTATTTATACTGCATTCGTAACCAAATTAACAGATTGATACTAGTAGGCGATGTAGTTCTTACTAAATTATTACTAATAGTACAATCTGACTGACCAAACCGAATTATCCCCTTTTATTTGCCCTTTCGTGAAGTAATGCTAAGAATCTAATAAAACAATAGCTGAAAAGTCACTGTTATTCTATAGCATATAACACAGTGCGTATATTATAACGCAGTATTTATGGCAGTATTTATAACAATTGTGATAGCTATATGTAATTAATATGTTGTCATGCGATATCAGTGTGTTTATACTAACTAAGGGTGTTATTTTTCTGATTTCTTAATTGAGTCGGATGGTATCGAGCTATTTTTGCCTGAACGACAAACCAATGATGATAATATTTAATACACTTGTGCTTAATCTATAGCATAATTTTAGCACACTATTTGCTTATATGATACGTTCTTCAATATTAAAGTGTGGAATGAGTGCTGTAATGTTTTCTGTTGTTGTTAAGCAACTAGTAATAGATCAAAGCGTCATGAAAAAGTGATTGCTGTCAGAAAAAATATTAAATGGTTTTACTGCTACATGAAAGCATTTAAATCTATTTGAGTATACGTTTATTGTCGATATTTGGGTGTGCAACATTGCTGTTAACTATAATGATAGTATGCTATGAGTATTTCCGATCTGCACCTTTAGAAAAAGTAGGAGATCACGATTAGCTAGTCATATAGGGTATACAATATTTATACGATATTTCTTTAAATTTAGTATTCTAAAATTTCTATCCCACGATCTTCTCCTATTCTTACCAGTCCTTATACTATTTATAGGTGTTCTCTCAAATAGCCGCTAAGTTGGTTAACAGTTAACTTATTCCTGTGTGCGTATGACACATGGACAGTTTGAAACTGCTTTTAGTGGTATTAGTGAGATAATTTATTAAATCTAAGTGAAGTACGTATCAATGAGCTGGAGTTTCTGCTAGGCTGAGTCAGACGCGGCTATGCCGTTTTTGCATTCAGTATAATATCGATTAATATTATCAGAAATCTCATTCGCATGGCATGGTATGCGGGTTAAGTTAGTGATTGTAGATATCAAGCAGTATCATCTGTTGTCTATGTAATAATTAATTAATGCGGCCGATCTAATCTACATAAACTAAACTGAATTTACTATTAACAATATGAAAAGAAAAAAAAACTGGAGATAACGGGGATTGAACCCGTGGCCTCTCACATGCGAAGCGAGCGCTCTACCACTGAGCTATATCCCCCAAACATCACTTCTAATGAAAATTCTTTATTTAACCTAACCTAAAATATCACGTGACCATGCTCTCATACTAGTACTATACTGTTGGTGTAACCTACTTGGGAGATTCACTATTTACTACTGTATGCTTTCAGAGACTACGTATTGCCATGGATTGCTATGATCGAAAACAACGTAACATTGTATTTAGCGAAGTTTACCAGTAACTTTCCTCATTGTAACTTACAGTTAATCACCAATATCGCGCTAATACAGCGGGTGTACTGTTCGATCTTGAAATAAACGGTTTCTCTGTTTAAACTGTATAATATAAAAAGATAGATAGTATCCGCGTGTATGTTTCGGAAAGCATTCACTGGTCTCTCTTACTGGTCATATACAGTATAGCGGGAGTACATTTGTATAGCGTATAAAAGCCGATTCAAGTTATGGTTAAGAAAGTGGGATTAATGATAATGAGTGTAGCACCGGCCTTAAATAAATGCACTGTCAGGACAATAATTTACAATTTACAGAAAGCATTCCCAGCATGACAACGAAAAAATACTGTACAATACGTTTTATTTTTAATTTATTGAAATTCCTTGGTAACATGCGAGTGTTCTGCTTCTTGTTTGGCACAGAATTACGTAATAAATACAAATGAAACTGTACTACAGCAAGTGAATATTCCAAATAGAATTTACTCGTATGTCCGTTCCATCTGATATTGCGCCTTATTAACTACCATTACTACTATACTATACAGTAAAATTGAGATGCTTACAGAACAAATGACTACGGTATCGAAAATCCATGTAGCGTACTGTACATACGTATAACTAATACCCAATGTATAGTAAAGTGTGCAACCACAAATGTATTGCTATATCGGCAATAACGCGAGTAGTAAGACTGATAATTATACTGTAAAAATGAAAACTACAGTAATAGCATATGGTTATAATTTGCTAGCAATATCAAATTGGCATTAGACTTTAATTACAGTCATGATCTGTACATGCTTTAAGTGTAATTATCTCTAAAGGAAAAGAGTCCACAATTAAGATGCCAGGTTGCTCGTCAAAATTTAACTCTTTAATAAATCCAAACCAGTAAATTACCATCCCTGGTCCGAACCTGTTATCAAATGAAATGGTCTTAATCTTAATTCTTATCTCTAATGGATCAAGAATCCTACGGACTAACTATAATTGTAAGCAGCCTTTAAACTTGTAAATAGGTCAAGCAATATTTTAATAACAATCCATTTTTATACCTTGGTATTTAAATCAATAAATGACTATTTGAAACTAGCATGCATAAACATACAATAGTTACATTTACATTTACTACAGTAATAATCTGTGAGAGCTACAAAGGTAATGATGTCTACTGACATTATATTATTATAGATTTTTCAAATACTTTAGCTAGTAAATACTGAACATAAGAAATAATTCATAAAATTTCATAAGAATTACAAGTACCTGTTTAAGTAGCTATAATACTGATCCTTCATATACGTGGCATGACTATGCTCATCACCGAATGATGCTTTACTTTCTATCCAGTTCACAATATTGCCATTCACAGCTAAAGAAATACCATTAAAAAGAAAATGTTATATACTGTAGATATAGACGCAATTAGTGATGTAATTCTAAATTTATAGTCATAGTTGATGTGCGTACCTATTGGCACTTCTAATTTAATATCTGGTGTCTTATCATATCCTTTTAATCTCATATCATTTTCATCTGAAGAACGATTTCATAAAAACTATAAGAATATATTTACTAAATTTCGATTTGCCAGTTTGAATATCACTAAACTCGTTATTTGGTGAAAATATAATTTCCCAATTTAGCTATCGTAGTTTTACTGCTATGTATACACTTCAGTACCAAGAAAGGCCAACGTCAAGTTATTTAGCTTTTCTCGTAGAATATATTCATATTCAAGACCAGTAGAACTATTAGTAAGGTTTTAAAGATTGAAATAACGGCGTAACGTAGATAATATATTTTTAAATGAAGGCTTAGAAGTAGGATACTGCTTCACATTCTCAATTAGAGGCCCGTAATTTGCATCGTTCAGTATACACTAATTTATTACAAAGATTTTTTAAGTATGATCTTATTACCTAAAAATTTACGAAACCAGCGGTGGAGATATGATTGAATTCGATTTACGGAAACGTACCTGCTCAACTTCCCTTGCGAGTCTGTCATTTTGCAGTAACGTAATGTCCTTCATAGCATTGCTGATGGTAGTTCGTGGTGCTTTACCATCACAAAACATTTGTTTTTAATCGATTAATAGCTATTAGAATAGTACCTTTTTGTGTCATAAACTTACGACTATTTCCATTATGATGTAAATGTGCCAAATGCCTTTCTACTACAATGCGAGCTAAGAGGAAAGCTGATAGATCTACCTACAATATGCACAGACAAAATACCTTGTAAATTTTTAATTAAATCGTTTGTTGTCATAAATTTATCAAGAAATAACCTCATTAGCTATAAGTTGTAAGATTGATTCTTGGAAATCTTGATTACTTAGCGTTAAATACCTGTGAAAGACAAGGGGTAATTAACAAGCTTGATATATGTCATATTAATGTTTCGATAAAAGACATTAAATAATTTACTATTAAATGCTAAATAAAGGGACGATTAGTACGAGTATACTGATAAATAGTGAATTCAACTTAATTATTTGCATCATCTATATAATTTACAAACCGCTGGTAATAACGTTCCATCATGTCCGGAGAATGATGGCGATGAAATTCTTTCTTAATTTTCTTCTATCAAGGGTATACCAGGGGATTTGCAGAAAATTTTCATAATTAAAAGTAGATTACTGTTTTTGCAGTGCTAATTAAATATTAAATATACATATACAATAATAGCCACTGATAAATGCTAACTATATTTTTAAATTTGAATATTTACATCAATCTAGTACACTGGCCATTCTCTATGTTATGCTACATAATTATTATTATACTCTCAAATTATACATATCCGATGTAACAACGAAATATCTCAATATTTGATGACATAGTAAGAACAGGTATGTAGTATACACAATATATTGGATAAAGTTGTACACGAATTTTCCCCAGTGTAAATTAGATAACTATTATCCACTGTATACCATATATTGTACTATAGTCAACTGTTGACCCTTATATTACAAAAAATATAGCAAAGCCAGGTCATATTCACTACCGTAAATACTTAATTAGCATGAACGACATAATATATGATGCTCATTTGCTCAGCAAAGTAACAAAATAAAATGCTGCTGAAGTAGTAGAAGCAATGTGCAGTATTACGTGCTATATTTAGATGTGACTATTTTGCTATCACAAATTTTCTTAAATACTTTGTACGTGTAGTGCGAAAATAGATAGATAAAATACTTTGAGTAATAATCGTATGTATAGCACCACTTCCTTTGTGAATAGGGTGCTTATGCCGTAATTTGCATAAAGTAATTGTGCTTTAACTTTGACAATTACACATTACACTCGTACTGTATGTCTATGAAGTTTAAACTATAAACTTTAAAAATCATATGCATTATACCAATAGGTCGCTTATGAATGAAAAGGAATGTTTATGTACGGTATTTAGCTAGCATTTTGTATCTGAAGTAGTGCACACTGATAATATGCTGAGTTTACAAAGTTGGCTAATAAAAGCAATGACGTAATGTTACGCAAATAAATTATTTTCTAAATGCGTATAGTCTCAGATTTTACATTGTTTAGAAATTGTATTAGATAAAAAATTTTGTAATCAAAGTATCTCTTGCAAAATGGACATTAGCTATTGTACATTAGATTACCTGGTATTCTTGCGAGTAAATACTAACCAAAGTGTTGTATGTTACTCTATTAAAAAATAAAGCACAATTCAGATGATTCGAAATCATAATGTTAAGACTTATGTCAGTGAATAAAATCTATTCAACCTTAAATTTAGATCTTAAAATTTAAATTTAATTTTAAGCCATTTATTTATTAGCACATTGTACTGTACGGTACTAGTACAGGGATACTACATCAAACTACAGTATACGTAAGTATGTTAATTATTAGAACGAACATTTAAATAGAAAGAAAGAATATAGTAGTTCTGTGTTAACATCAGTTATTTCTTAATTGCTATATTACAAACATGGTATTATATTGTATGTGCTGTAGTTAAACCTTTGTGTCAAGTATTGCAAGCTTTTATGCAGTCGTTAATTATATCGTTATTAAACTTAATAAATAGCTACATATCACATTAATATATGCATTCTGCACAGTGCATTGTACAGTATGATTACGTAATATTAGTCTAATCTTAATCTAGAATTGATAAATTTCTTACGATGGCAATGTAAATGTAAATAACACAGTAAACCAAATGCAGTAACTCCTTTTAGCACCTATTACATGGCAATTGTTATGATCATACTGGAACAATTTGTACTTGGTTAGAAACTTTAAATTTAGCAATGTACTTACCCAGGGTACAGCTTTAAAATGTCTGTCAGACATTCGCGTGATGTTGAATTTTTGATAACACTTATAATACGCTTGTACTTGGCCAGAGGTAAAGCCATGTTTTACAAATAAGTGAAAGCAGCCCGATAATGAAATACTATTGGCAATGAAATTCACTTAACTGCATATCCTAATGTACGGTAATTAATAATAATAACAATGGTGTAATATGCACTTACATATACTGTACACTCTACAGTTAATGAATCCACGATAAAATGTAAATAAAACTGCTCTTAGTTGAATTCTAATGTAGATTGAGTATTTACAGGCTGTCAATGCTAGTGTATTAATTATTTAACATTTTAATCCATTTCATTAGATCGGACTAAGCTATTATCCGATACTATTATTATTTTCGTGCAACTTCAAGATCGCCAAATTACTGTGAATCAAATCAATACTGTACAGTATACTGTACACTATAACTACCGTGTTTTATTACAGTTTTTACTGCAGAAGTTAGGAGTCTGCAGAGCTCAACTTGTTCGAGTACTGTAGTACAGTACAGTACAGTACAGTACTACAGTACACACTGGACACTACAGTACTGTACAGTATCTTTACAGTGTATTGTACTGTACAGCGTACTGTACCATGTCGGCATGTACTATCAGTGCGTATTACGCAACTACCAGTCTTCTTGCAGAGGGGACATGCGTACCAGAATGGAGAATGGAAGGCATACAGACTCTGATGCAAACATTAAATTGTGGACCTAAAATGCTTTGAGACGTAGTACTGTACAGTGTACATGTACAGTACAGTACTGCACTGTACACTCTGTGTACAGCATATCAAACGGATAACTTGATAGCGAAGTTAGACTGAGTCATAAGCTATATGCCATATCAACCTGCGAATTATACGAGTATATCTGATATCGTACAGGTATTACACTAGTGATAGTATATAATGTAGTTACTACATTACGCTTTTATGACTATTGCTGTGGTGGGTGACGCATCGGTAAGGCTTAAGAACCGCTGGTCTACTGTACAGTACAGTATTACCGTACTATCCGGTCTACCGTACCCTCACTTTTGTTTCTAAAAGTGATATACTGTACAGGGTTAATGTTGATGTTAAGCATGTTGTTACTGTTATCCAGTCTACAGTAGGTGTGCTTGTACTGTACTGTACAGTACTGTGCATTTACTTGACGGCAATTGTATAACAGTATACAGTACTGTACTGTATGTTTATATCACTGACTCACAATTTCCCTAACTGAGCATACAGCATTACAGTCTATACCTTTACGTATTTATATAATTTTACTATGAAATCAATCATTCATTTTGCCTAATCTGCATCGAATGCTTGTCAAATTATAGAAGCCTAGGTGAGTCATCTGAGTACTGTACTGAACTTATTTACCCTCCCTAAAAGAAACTCAATAAATCATCTCATATTAGTCATGTTACTCATATACCGTATCGAAGCACTAAAAGTGCCAATATTGGAGTCAAATTTTAAAATTCAGTTAATAGTAAACTAACAGCGAATCATGCAACCATAGATCAGTATTAGTTGCTTAATCTATTTGTTTCAATAAAACTTATTCGTAAATTGTATTCCTACTATGTGGGATGCAATCCCAATGTAACATAATGATTTGATATACTGTATGTGGAGTAAAGTTTGCGTATTGAATCAATGAATACGCCTATTTACTACTTAAATGAGGAGGAATTCATGAATGTTGTCGCTTACCAGGTAACATTAGTCTTGATTGTGAATATAATTTATTAACCATTTTCAGTGCAATCTCCACGATGCAGTCATATCACGTTATTAGCTTACAGTTTCGACGTAATACCGTGAAGGATTGAGCACGCGAATATATATATACTATATAATGCGAAGAGGTAATCCTAAAATAAATCAGATTAATTTTGCTAACTTCCTTGTTCAAGCTGACAGTAGATCACAGTTATGTATCAAAACATCATGTCAGCAGCACACTGCTGAGATAGATAAGGTATACGACAGTATTACTGTGACGTACTGTACTGTGTTTAGAAGTAGATACAGGGCGCAATCTGAGTTCAAGTTATAAAATACTAACCTAAAATCATGATATCTCGTATTAATATCAAAATTTGTAATATTATTATCAGTAATTACGAGTACTTGTAGTATTACATGCAGACCAGCAGTACGAACGAATGGTAAATCAGTTGTAGCCGCGGATAGATAACACAGTAGCTTCTGCGTATTAAGCAGTGCAGATCAGTAAGTAAAAACGGGTGTTACCTAGAACATCTATAACACTGTCAAAGTCAGAGACATTAGGTCTTCTACATTGTAAAGTAATATTAGATTGACAATCTTTGATCCTATAATTGTTGTTATAACGTTGTAAAAATTCTGTTTGTAAGACCAGTAGAGATGTTTCAGTTGTAACCAATAAAACTTATTTTACTGTAACGCCTAATTTCAACATTAAATCTTAGCTTTTTTATTTTGGGTACCAAGTTTAACAGCGATATCTGCTAATCTGACACCCTTTGCTAGCAAATATTGAACATATTCGGGTTGATTCGGATCTTTCTTAGCAGCATCTTTTCTGTTTCTATATTTTTCTCTCCTCTCCCTGACCTGTTCGCGGTATTCTGCAATCATTTGTGGCATTTTAGCCATGTTTTCAGCTATAGTCACTTTTCTGATAGAAGACATAACAAAGGTGTCGATTAGTGTTGCAAAGTCGCAGTGACAGTTCGCAAAGAACTTCCTTATCTAAAAGGTACTGAAGGTAGAATTTCTCCGAGCTTACTCACCTACAGTATTAGTAGTTTAATTAATTACTGTACAATATCCGCATGTAAATTATATTGTGACTAAGAATTCGCTGCTCTTGAGAGTTTAATTTTAGTAGAAGTTTGTTCTGCAGTACTTATAGCGATATACCAATCGTACTGCACAGAATTTGGAGAATAAGAAACGGTAACAACCTCGAAATACAGTACACACTCTTACCTTGCAGCTTTAGCTTCCTCCCATTTGTGACCTTTGCGATAAGGCTTTAAATTAAGTGGAGGCAAGGGTTCTTGAGGCCATTCCTTACCTTGTTGTATAAATTTTCTCTTTGTTCTAGCTAACTGAAGAGTGCTAATCTTTGGATGCTTTCTGCCATTATTAGTTCTTTTGGCATCTTTCAGAATTCTAGCAATAGATGGAGATATTTTGGATGAAAGATCTCTTGCATGAAGAGTAATATTCTCCAACTGCGATCCTCGCCGAAAACTTGCAAATATACCGTACATTGTTCTCTTGCCTGCAATGCCTTCAATTAGTTTAATATGATTAATTAATGAACTAGTAAGCTACTGTAAGTAGTGCAATGAAGTACAGTAGTGGTATACTATAAAATTTATGATATTGTGTACTATCTATCTTCGAACAAAATAAAATAAAATAATATGTTATAAATTAGTTGCAAGTGCAGCTACATGCTTTCATACTGATCTGCAGACTGCAGCCTGTAGCGTGCTGCGCTGATCTACAGTACAGTACAGTACAGTACAATATTATAGTACAGTACTATTTGCTGTACTGTACAGTACAGTGAATACAGTACAGTACAGGACAGTGTACTGTACACACCCAAAAAAGTACTGTACTGTACTGTACTGTACTGTACAGAACTTCATTTGTATGGCTGTAACTAGAGACTCTAGTCTAGGGCCTCTAGCTGTAACGTTACCATGGAGGTAAAAAGAGCTTGAGTTGAGGGTTCGTCATTACTGTACTGTACTGTTCAGTTACTGTATACTGTACATTTATGAAGCGTGCAAGTTATAATTTACAACTGGTTTGAAAATCATACTGTACTGCGATTAAAACGTTAAAAATCTAGACACGGTACAAGACTACAAGTTAGGCCTACAGCAAGTAAAGCAGTTTATTTAATTCCTGGACTACGGAGTCACCTCCGACTGTGCTACTAGTAAGCCATGGATAAACCACAGATTATTGTCCATATGCAGAAGGGGCTGGATTACACTTTATTTGATGCAAAATGGATACCTTCCAGTGCTCGTTTCGTGGTGATGGGCTCGAGACCTAATGGAAATGGTACCTTGCAAATCTACGAAATTAGTAAAGGTGATCTAGTTCTCTTGAAAGAGGTAATCGAATAGTCATTGATGCTAAAATATATATTATATGCGCCTATATACGTAGATTTATTGTTTATCTACATACTTGATCATCGCAAACTTAAAGCTTACTGATACTGTAATTATATCCGGTGTCGGTATTTACGAATGCCCAGCGACGCTACCGCTTTATTGTACGTTACTACGAATTAACTTTATGGTAGTGATAGCCTTTCGAGTAAATATAAATGCGAGTAAGGTAAACATTAAAATATATAGTAGCAACAATAAAACACGGTCTAGTGTACGCTTGTGTATCAATATTTTTACAGATTACTAATGCTTGTTTAACACTAATAAGCCAGTGAAATTCCCAAGCGTAATAATGTTGTTCCACTAACAATTTTAACCGCTAGACGAATAAAGATGCCTCAATCAAATGCGGTACGTTTGCTGCTTCCAATTTGCGCAGTCGTCATCTAGCAACAGGCGACTTCAATGGAAACCTAAAGACATGGTATGTCATTTAGGTGCTTAGATTTCTCAAGAAAATATTGTAACGGCATAAAATTTGAAATTGAGCCACTTGCGAACACTTTCCGAAATTGTACAAAGTTATTTAAGTTCCACTAATGACTTGCTTAGGGATCTAGAAAATTGGCATACACCAGTATATTCCGTGAAAGGGCACAAGGAGATTATTAACAGTATCGACGGCTGTGCAGGACTGGGAATTGGGGAAGGTGCTCCAGAAATTGTGACAGGCAGCCGCGATGGTATGAATAAAAATTGTTCAGATTAGAATTATCTTTAGGTAAACTTCTTAATCGTCTTCTTGCTTTTTTATATTAGGGAGTGTTAAAGTATGGGATACTCGTCAACATGATAAGCCAGTAGCGGCAATGAGTCCAGCTGAAGGTGAAGATCACAGAGATTGTTGGACAGTAGCTTTCGGAAATGCATACACTGAATCAGAAAGGTGTGTCTGTGCTGGTTACGATAATGGAGATATTAAACTATTTGATTTAAGAACCATGTCTGTTCGATGGGAAGACAATCTAAAAAATGGGGTAAGTTTGGGTAGTACATGGCACCTATTCGTACTGAATATATCTACTATATGTAATTGAAGCCCTTTTTATTATTCCTTAACCGATTCAAAGACTTGATGTTAGCGAATATAATATGCTTGTCTAGATATGTAACATAGAGTTTGATCGAAAAGACATCATGATGAATAAGCTCCTTGCCTGTACTTTGGAATCTAAATTTCATGTATTTGATTTACGAACTCAACATCCAGAAAAAGGATTTGCTGGATTATCAGAAAAAGTATGATATCTGTAGCTATTACTTACAGCACGTTTAAAGCGTGGAAAATGGGATTTTTGTATACGACATACAGTTATTCCTTATAACAAATTTTACTCTATATTTACTGCACGTCCTGCAATTCATTACCCTCACTAAATAAGTAATGCTTCCTACGGATGTTTTATTACTAACTAATATATCTATGCGTATATTATTAGGCGCATAAATCTACTGTTTGGTTTGGTAAACACTTACCTCAAAATAGGGATATCTTTATAACTGGTGGTGGAAGTGGATCGCTATTCCTATGGAAATAGTATGTACTTACGTATGACAACCCTACAGTAATTGTATAATCCGCGTTATTTATAACTATAGTGTAACAGTCACGGAACAGTATACAATATTACTAGTAGCTCTGGAAAAATGAGCGCAACTAACTTTAATAATCTATAAATAGTAATCCATTTTAACATCGCAAATGATTTCTAACGATGTCCCTTGAACTTCGGTTTTAGTTCATATCCATCTCAACGCTGCGTTAAAGATAATAATGGCATAGAAATGGGAAACATTGGCTCCGTTAATCTTCAACAAAATGTCACTATTTCAACACAACCAATAAATTCTCTTGATTGGAGCTCTGATAAAGAGGGCTTATCAATATGTACATCTTTTGATCAGACTATACGTGTTTTAATTGTTTCTAAATTGAATCGTTTATAATTCTACCTTCAAATTTGATTATGTGAACTATACCTTAATATATTAGAACGAACACTTTTCATCTAAGTGGAGGTAAAGTAAGAGTTGTAAGAAGTAGTATGATAAAATTTTAATTTTTAAATTATTTTTTAACTAATGATAGAGTTTATTCACTTTTCGTAAACTTATCATTTCATATTACCTAAAGGTTACTACTAAATTAATAAAATGTATGGTGTATTTCATTTCGTCTTTGTTGTGATTTATTGTACAAGTGATATTGCAAACATTTACATAAATTTAAGCGAAAAATTAAGATTACATTACAGATATTGAATAGCTAAGGTATTAATATTTTGTGACAGTAGTTTGATAAATATAGTATCAATAATATTTCATTATACGATAGCGTCTTATACTAAGAATATTGTAGCAAACAGTGCAGTTATGGTATTTTAACATATGTGATATGGAATTTAGAGCACTCAACGGAACCAATTAAGTTAAAGGATAATATCTTAAATTTGTTAAATTCGAACTTTCCAGATGATTAGATCCTTAAACTTTAATTCGCAGATGTTGTATACTGTACGTAAAATTCTGGCATAACCGCAACCGCAGTACCACAGCGACATCTACTTTCAGGATGTTTAACTAGAGTCCATGCTGCATTAAAAGATGAAGGGAATGATCGCTTTACGTTCTTTTGGGTAATCGTCAAATTTCTTTTGATAATACCTGAATCATGAAAAAAAGATCCTTCAATATAAATACGGAATGATACTTGTTTCAAAATCTTTAAGTCTGCTAATATGCTAAAATACATTAAGGAGACAATATGATCTGTAATGGTGTAAAAAATAGCGACTAAGGTATAAATTCTTTACATTGTATAAATATAAATGGCAGTACTAGAGACCCTTAACTAGAGACCCTTAAGGGCCTCTAGGCAGTACAGTATAGAGATATCGTATAATCGCCACTAGTAACGATGGTAAGCTAAATAAATTATATTATAAATTAAGGAAATAATAATCTATATTGGTATTACGATCTAAAAATAGCCACTAAAACGTAAGCTCTTTACATGATACTATTACAAATGGCATTGTAGAGGTATCGCATAATCGCTACCAACAACAGCAACGATTAATATATTGCGTTACCTGTGATGATGGTAAGCTCGAGGTCCAATGTTGGAGGCAGCGAAAAACGCAAATGCAGCTGCTGGTAAAGACCAACAGGCAACGGAAAAACCAAACCATTCCAGCATTTCACCAAAAAAATTGGCGCCTGATACATATTCAAACATGCCACCTAAGTCCCACAAAAGATAACGTAGGTATAAGAAAGATATTGATCTCAGTGTATAACATATACATACAAAAATACTGCATAGCAATCACTAGATACGAATTGGGCATGAGGTCTCTCTTAGTCGAAATATTATTTTTATAACACATATTATTGTAAGAATATATAAATCTTTCATATTCAGTACTGTACTGAGATCGGGAGAAGAAGCTTAGACGAATAGTTGACAATGCCCTATAGATTCATTCAAAAATGCAATAATAGAAAGAGCTACGGTTAATATGCAAGTATTAGGTTGAGCATTTCTTGCCTCTAGGTATCTTATATCCCGTTTCTCCCGGTTTCCTTAAATTTCTCAAAATATGATCGGAGTGAATATTAATACAGAAACCGGCAATAAAGAGACAACTACCAATGATAAATCTTGGGTCAGCTAGCCATGATCTATCGTATACTGCAAACGCTGTTAAGTATCTTCCTTGCAAATAACCATTATAAATGCAAAAGCAGGTAGCCATAAGCCCAACCATTGCCGGAGTCGGCTTGCCTCCACGTAACAGGAAAGGGAAAATTAATGTTCTGTTATACAGTACGTAAGTACAGTATAGAGATAAAAATGCGTAATTGTAAATCATTTAGAAATGCTGTGAAATACATATAGTAATATTTGTACGTCCTTTACAGATACAAACTACAAACCTTTGAGTATAATGAAGTAAAAATTGTCCTAGCAGGATGCGATTTGGTAAGTTATGTATTTGGTCGGCATCGTCCTCAAATAGCATGATAATCGGTATCAAAAGAGAAGGCATTTCCTGTATAAACCACATTAGCTTGCCATTAATGGTGTATCCAAAGCCATCACGAGTATATCTTCCATACGGTGCTGTCAGAAACATTAGGCTAGGTAAGGTGCAAGCACCAAGGCCGAACATACCAATAGCTAAATTTCGTAGCAAGTCTAATTCTTGATCAGGTGATAAAATATAGTAACTGTGAATAAAATTTGTTATCTTATTCATTATGGCAGCCATGATGGCAGATTCTTTTCAACTCACTGACGGCATCGTATGATTCGTATCAACTATCCAGTGTCCAATGTACAGTACAGTACTGCACACAGTCTAGCACAGAGCATAATCTTTAAAAAATAAAGTACAGTACAGTACAGTACATTGTGCTGCGCTAAGTACTGTACACCTGTACTGTACTGTACTCAGTGTACTGTACTGAACTGTACTGTCTGTACTATGTACAGTACAGTACTGTACATAATACAGTACACTGCACAGCAGATAAATTGGATTTCGACCAAATTGACAGATTCGATCCGGTCCCGACTTACTTTGTAGGCCGACTTAATACTGTACAGTTCTTACGAACTCACTTTGTCTACAGTACTGTACTGTACAGTACAGTGCACAGTACGTCGTACTGTATAGTTTCATTGGCCAAAGTAACGGTGTGAGCCAGTTCTCTATACAGTGTGGAAGGCTTTCTTACTTATGAGTATTAAATGATTGAACATACCGATAATACTATTATGAATGAAGTGGATTTTTGTGTTTAACGGCTACCTTGATACATCTACCCTTTTCCAGCATGATTATCCTAATGTCGCAAATCACACGCGATATAATATACAACGTACGCGTATGTACTGTATATAGTGGCTGAGGCGTATTACTGACATCTAATTTCAACGTCACATCATCTTGAAATTACAAGGCACGTTTAGAATTTGATTTAAATTAAATTATGAGATATGTTTAATACATCACAGTTCAAAATAAACTTTAATGAGAGCGGGAGAGAATCTGACTTACAGAACGACAGCATTAACCAAACCTTTCGCTTTCACACTCTTTGACTGAAACAAACGCCTACAATAAAATACTATATTTAATGTTTAAAACTTTTATAATTGAAAGTTAAACCCCCAAAAATGTAAAAAAAATTGCAGATGCTGGCAGCGATTATTTTTATTTTTATTTACTAAGAATTCAGAGAGAGTTGGATATGTATAGGATCATTAGACTAGACCTAAAAATTGGCTAATGTCTACCATATAAATTTCTAAGTGCTGATCTAACCAGTGCAATGTGACGAGATAATTCATTTTTAGAGCATACATACAATCTTATATCATAGCAGTTTATTTCTATATTTACTCATATGGCACCACTGTTACATTTATAGAATGACATCGACAGCAACAAGGCGCAGATACCTTAAATTAACTCATACTTAACTAGTCTATGATACATGTTAATAAAGTCAATACTTAAATTTAGACTCTTACTATGCCTAGCATTTTCTATACAGTGATAAAAATTTTGATCAATAATAATTACTCGCTGTAATAATATGTGATACGCCATACAATACAGTAAATATGGTGTAGCATAACAATAGAATATTTCTAAAACTTCATACAGTATTGAATCGAAATACAATATTAGACAATGCCTTATTCATCTGGATGTATTATATCTTAGTCATTAGAAGGAACGTCCTTCACTTATAAGATGAATTTTTTATCAGCAATTCAAGAGGATTGTAAAATTATAACAACGTCAGTACAACTGATACAGTATTGTCATGGAAAAGAATTTATACAGTACAGTAGTAGTTCTTAATTGAACTTCTTGTTCTATTGTTACAAATACCACTTAATAGACCAATAGAAAGGGTGATACCAAATTAGACTGTGTACATAATCATTGTTATTTTCACCGTATCACAGCGGGCTTTCTGCCCATGGTTTAAAGCGTTGCACAACCAGTATACGTGTTACTAAAATATCTTAAAGTGTAGTAGACTCAATTGCGGACTGAGTAAATGTGCTATGAAAAAGAGAACAAATTCTACTTTATAACTTCAGTGCTGGTGCAATTGTTGATGATACCATCTATTAATAATTGAATTACTCTTAGAAGATTATTGTTATTAAAAGATACAACGGTAAGTCGCTCCTACATTCACAATTTCTTCATCAAATGTACTCACTATGCGAGAGATCTAATCTATTTTCTAATACAGTGCATAATAGATTAGATAATTCGAATTGTTATTGCTAAGAAACCAACATTCATTTCAGCCCAGTCTTTCAAGCATTGACTCTAGAAATGACGATAACAATCGATTACACCTCGCATTTAAGATCATAACTGAGTTTAGATTCTGTGTATCGTTATTTTAGTGATCTATGAACTTATTTGAACGCTTTATTTTCCATGCCTTCACCGAAAGTATTGAAAGGTAATAACGGAGTAACCATACTGTAATCGATCATTCGATTTAAAAATAGATTCATATCTTTATCTTTTATACGAGTAGTACTGTAATGCAAAAATTCACTTTTTACCTGACTAATTTTACATGCAACACAAAAATCAGTTTCAACACTTTTTCCTCTTTACATTTTAGAAACTAAGTATTATAACTATTCTATTATTAGCGTTTTAGAATGTTTAAAACCAATTCGTTTTGCAGTGTGCCATGCAATCAATTGACTAGTGTATATAAAATTTTCTCTATTATTGACGATTTCTCACTTTCTTCTAACTTACATTTGCTATAATTGACTCGAATTCAAGTGGCGACTTGAATTTCAAAGAAGTACAAGGAAGTCAAGTTGACATAATAAGAAGAAGAAAAGACAAACATTTAGTACAACAATAAGATAACATTTGCTTATTGATCAGAGTGATGAGAGCGAGATTATACGCACATCGATTAGTTAAACGTGAGGAAGTCTCGCATATCTTTTAAACCCAATTGAAACTGATTACTATGATTGTTTTTGATACTTTATGAAGACAAGATCCAAACCATTAATATTATCGAAAATATTAGATTTGTAACCGCACTATCCATTATCTATATAGTCTGCCTACATATGAGAGTACACGCACGTAGAATCCTGAATTCTCCAGTCTAAAACGTCAAGATTACTAAATACCTAAACCAATGAATTAAATGTTGTATAAATTTTTATTAAAAGCCGCTGCCTTGCTAATATTACTGTTTATATTTTCATCGCCTAGATCCTTTAAATCGCTATATTTTGGCTGAAAATTTACTTCCTAAGTCTTCCTTGAACTAGTATCAATTAGAATTACTTTTTAGTTGTGGTCAAGAAATAGTTAATAAGAACGTCATATCACCCTCGATCTTGCTATTGAGTGGAAAAAGGAAAGTTCCGATTAAGACTTTAAATTAAACATCATGTCGATAAACAGTGTTACCCCATTAACTAAGCACCATACCTGGACTCGTCAAGGTGCTTTCAAGCGCAAAAAAGTTCATGAGATATGTGGTCATCAATTCGTCGCTACCTATTTTCGTCAATTTACCTACTGTTCTCATTGTAAAGAATTTATTTGGTAAGTTGGCTCTCCTATTTAATCATTAAAGTACTCTTAACTGTAATATGGAAAAATAAGCAATATCAAGGATAATTCATCTAGCAAATTGATAATCTTTTATTTCCATGTTCATTAATTTTATTTATAGAGTTAGCGGTCAACTAAACCATTTATTTACCCTCTCAGATTCTCATTCTAATTACTTATTATTTACCAATGAACAGTTTAGCCAATAATTTTAGTTTTTATACTTTAGTTCTTGCAACGCTATCTACGATAAAGTGCTTGAATAGACATCTTACGACTATCGTTAGCCAAATCAGAACTAGTGGCACATCGTTCAACTGAATGTTTGGCTATTTCATTGACATCATTACTGATTAACAAACTCGCTTGATGATTTATTTTTATTATTTGGAGAGATATAATATGCACATCTAATACTATTGCTGAGTAAATCATTCATTCTAGGACATAATGCACACACTCTTGAAGCCAATGATTGAAAAGTAGTATAGAATCATTTCGATAACTTCGTACCTATTTGTTGACAGGACATGCTCCGAAAAATCTAATCAAGTTATTCGATTCGAATTACAGGAAATTCACTTAATCAGAGAAGAAAACAACCTACATAACTAGATAAATAGGGCGTAATTTGAAACTTAAACTAAATATAATAATTACGAACATTACGAAGTAGTATACAAGATGTAGATTGACATTTTCTTTAAAAAATCCATAATCTTGGCATGCGCGATGATGGGACTAGTAAAATCAGTAAGATTTTAACTTCGATTTTAATCATTACTATAATAGAAGACTAATCGTACAGTAATATCAATTGTAATATAATGATAAATAGAATTCTGCTAACCCAAAAATCTATTATCGCCACTATATGCTACGGTATTTATTATCCTTTGCATAAATGAAACTAAAAATCTATAAAAATTAGCGAACAGCAAGAGAGAAAGATAAAGTATAGTATGATGAATATGATTAATAAAAGCAGTATACAGACGCAAAATTGCTTTATCTTAACAATATGATATTCTCTTAAACCCAAGTTATTTTTTCGTAAGAAGTAATAACGAATATACCAAGGTTGGTGGCATGAATGAAATCGCCTTCGCATTGAAAGTTATATCTAGGATAGTTAGTGATCATATTAAGTGATCATAATAATAGTTTCTATCCTACATTATTGACAGCGATTTATTCTAGGTTTAACGCAACAGAAGCCTTTTCTTTAAAACGCTTAATGATCTCTGAAATGAAAGGCAAAAGTACCTCAAAATGATTTGATAAAACCATTACTCTACTTTGTTTCTTTGTATAAGAAAAATAGAAAATCTTCTCTTAGGAATCAGTTGTAATTTTCATATCCCAAAATTTTTGCTCGTCTATTCAATACAATATTTAATTTGAAATTTCACACTCATGTAAACCAAACATCCGTCATGCTACTTAAGACCCACCGCCATCACGTTCAAAATTAGACTTGATAATTTATTTCTGCAGTCAAGTCTTAGATAAGATGTTAATCATGGTACAGTACAACGTCTGTATTATAGTGAATGATATCGTATACGCGTATAGTGTTACAAGGCATGTACTGTAGTTTAAGACCATTATTATCATGACGGAATACGAGTACGTGTAAGTTAAAGTGAATATCCACATAGCATATTTGAGTGCAAGTATCACAAAAAAATCATTTACAATAAAATGCTACTGTACGTATACTCGTATATATCAGAACAACGAAAAATAATCGGAGCGGAAGGGAGAAAAATATGACGTCAATTGGTCTTATCATGACTCATATTACAGTATATAAACCAAGACAATGATTTCAATTTTTTTTAAAGCATTGAAGTAACGTAATAGTCAGTTGGAATGAACAGTCAATCATTTGTCATGATAGATAAGGAGGGAATGATTGAAGACGGCTTATGACTACTTTCCATATTTCAACTACCCATATCTGATCATGACATTAACCTGCCATTTTTGTATGTCCCGTAGGAAGATTGAAAAATACTTCAGTTTTATTGTACATGTTCTTACGTAATGGATGCTTTTTTATATGATTAATTTAAATCCATTTGTTCATCTAACATTCAAAATCTTAAATTCCTCTAATTTTTGGCTCCAATTGTACTCGTAATGCCATTATAGTTTGCTGTACTTGGGAAATGAATGTAATAGCACTTTTAGTAATATCCTCTGATAGGGTAAGGTGATACACTGGCACTACATTCCCTTACTTTTATATATCGATCCTATATAGCATTGATAAATTAACATAGCCACCTCTATGCTACTATGTGTCGACATATTACTTCTAATTTTCTGCTTTATAACGTTGGCATGATAGTTATGATATCTAGTAAATCCATTTAGAATCGTTCTAGCATAAGTTATTGTTATTGTGCTAAATTATAAAAGAAATAAAAGAAGTCAGATTACGAGAAACTTTTTACCTTTCAAATAAGACTTTAGGAATTAGGGTTGACTTAATAATTTCTAATATGAGAATGAATACGTTGAGCCTATCTCATGATTTAAAGTTGCTCCTAGTCTTAAAAATTTTATTCTCCGTATTGACGTAGGTCTTATTTTAACTGATATCGACAGTAACATACTAGATAACAGTAAATGGCTGACTATAATTCATTTCAGCTTCGATCAATAAGATATAGCTAAGACAATAGTAATGTCACAGACAAGCATAGATAGAGAGATATGTTTTATGCCGTGCTTTCATTCACCTTTAAACGAGTTACTTACGGAAATTGTATAGCACTAAGTAGTCTGCATATGAGCAAGTGTAAAAAATGGCTATTTATTATAAAAATTTCCGTAACATCAATCTTATTACGACATAATAATGCATGCCATATTTCTGCAATTGTTTCATATTGGCATCGCATACTAACTTTGTTAATAGTTATAACGAGAAAGAATATATATATACACGACATATAGCTTTAGCTAATTACATTGTCAGCATCTTACAGCTTGTAGTACTTATCGTCAATGGCTAAAAACGTATAATCTTAACCTTGCTCAGCTCAGCTTCAAAGCTCTGATGCACATCTATTATCGTATTAATAAAGAGAAAAAGTGAAAGATTATGATTTATACCTTAACAACCAAACCTGACGTAAAACCAGTCTCAAGTAGCCATCTATATCAAAGATACTGAGTTAATGCTGAATAGACCTACTCTATATTAATGTTATTAAAAGCTCTTACTATAAGACTTCAGGTATTAAACTTTTTCATCCTAATATTGAATTACTATTATAAGAAAGAAATTTTAGATACATCACGACTATAAGCATAAAGCATATGACACAACAGGATTTATCATTTAGATAATTATATCTCAACCTGAAATTTAGCTAAATTACGACAGTAACTGATAATACATTTCGTATATGACCTAACCTTATTCCATACATTATGAACAAAATTCAAGATCTTCGCTATAAATACAATTGATTCTTAGCCAGTAATGGAAAACCCCTTTCTTACTGTATACGATGATAATATTGTTCGATTTCCATTCATTTTTTAAGTTGATTTCTAGAGTTAAATATCAGTACGATTAGAAGTAGCCAGGTATATGCAACTACCGCATCTTAATTAGATTTGATCGATTAATATAAGCTCAATCCCAGTGTATTAGTTCTAACTCTATTTTATAAATGCTAACGAAAATATCAAGTATAGCATTGCCTATTCAATCACCTACAAAATCTGGAATTATGTTCTTTGCAATTTTAATATTTTTAAATATAAACCTCTTTTCAATACACCATAAAATTTCTGGTAATGATAAAAAATGCAACTCTTATTATTTTATTTATCGCAGCTAAATTAATAACAGATTCGGATTCCACTCAAGCTATGCACTATTTCCTACCATGGCCTTTTAGTCATTTAGTCCTAACTACAGAATATCGCAATGATAATGATATAGTATAGTAAATAACATTAATGCATACTATGGGATATGAAATTGGATATGTCAAAATTGTCCTCTCAAAAGTACTTGAAAACGGAAAGCAATAATGTAGTTATGTATCAACCAATATATATTGTGTATCAACATTACAGTACATTAGGTATGCCAAGATTTACCAATAATAACGTGATTTAGTCCCCTTTTGCATTAAGTCAATCAAGAAATACGAAACAATCTGATCCGAAATTCTTACATGGCATAAGATTATTAGAACATTAAACTGTTCGGATATGCCATCATAGTTGATATTGTGCCCATGATATTCTTATTACATACATAATATGCTTATACCGTGATGAAAAATACGCAGTTTTCTTTTTATAATATTATAAAGACACTAAAATTTTCAATAGTTGTTGACAGTAAACTTCTGCGTTTGCCCTTAAACACTCAACACTCACAAATTTTAAAATTGAGTTTTTACAGAGCCATATTGTACATTTATTTGAAATATCATCAGCCTTTAACAGATGTTAAATGCTACGTTTAAAATTTTCTCGTACTTGTATTGCACAAACAGAAAATCATAACTGTTTGAACGGTAGAAATCGATATAGATTTCACTCTTACAGGTCTGAAATCATTTTAAATCCGTATGAGTACTATATGCCAAAGATGCAATAATCGGTTAATTTATTTTCTCTGTAGTTCATGCCTTTTCAAAGCTAGACCAATAAATCTGAACATTATCTTAATTTACGTTCAACCGAACGTAATTTACTACTATACATCCCTACGACGTTTACCGTACACGTTTTATTTATTTACAATCTTAGCTTCATACTACTGCACTAAGCAGTTCATAATCGTTGTTGCTCGAAGATTAATTTGATACCCTGATAATATTTTAACAAATATAAAAAATATTTTGTTTACCTAAGTTTATATACTAGAATCTTGATAAAAATTTCTACATGACTCCAGCGCTTTTACTGGATAGTCAGTAAATCAATAGACATTTATTTGCGTACTATGCCACATAACAAAGGCATAAAATAATTACTGCCTCAGAGATATATCGCTGAGCTCTGAATAAACATTTCTCTTGATACTAAATAATATTCATCACTAGCATTAAATTAGCTCTTTTATATTCTTTTACTACTTATTTTAAAAATTAATTATTAATATTTTTCAATTTTTCACAAAATATTTATTTAACATCAAAGGGGAGTTATCGGAAGACAAGGATACCAATGTCGATGTAAGGCGTTATTTTCGAAGATACTATATGACTAGGTGTACCTTAGATAGGCACAAAACTAAAATACTTAAAATGCCGTGATTAATTCGAATTATGATAATATAGAACACTGTTTATAGGAGTTAAGTTTATCTATGTATCGAATTTGTGAACACCTTTCCTATCTTCTTGTAGCTTGTCGAATTGTCGTCCATAAACGATGTCATCAACTTACAGTTACTAAGTGCACTTCGAATTTGCCAGAGGTAAATACTATTATGAAAACATAGATTTACGCCAATTACAACACTTTTGAGGAAATATAGCTACGTTATGTCAAATTTTCTGCCTTTAGAGTCATTTTTAATTTAAAATTACCTTATTATAGTTTTCAATAAAAAATTGATTTACGAGTATTTAAGTAGATCGAATACTGCGTAAATATTGGCTATACTTGCCATAAAAAAGGACAGACTAGGTATTATCTAAGATATTTGTATAGAATTAAGTACTCTTTTGACGTAAATTTTTTTATCTTTCCCTATTGACGAAATAGGATGAAGATTCTACTATAGGTTTCAATATCAACGTTCCGCATAACTTTGCAACGCATAGTTATCGGTCTCCAGCATTTTGTGATCATTGTGGTTCATTACTGTACGGATTATTCCGTCAAGGAAAGCAATGTAAAGGTAAATAATTCCATGTTCGACTAGTAGCATTATGATGTAGAGTAAAAGGTTTCTAGATTCTAGCCTGATGGTAATGATCTGTATATTCTATCAGATTCGCAATATTATATGCTTCTCACTTTTAATATTTAAACTAATTTCTAACGATGTCTGATCATACTAGAGAATTATTATACTTTGTAATCAACTTTATTTTGATAAAAAGTGATGTCCAAAGCTCTGTACTAATGGTACCCTCGTATTGACAAGATTAAATATGTACGATTCATATTTTCTAATAATTATCAAGCTTATAAAACGAAAAGCTGATAGCCTTCTATTACGAATGGTACCATATTCGTACTCTAGAATATAAAAAAATCGACTTTCTGAGTTTTATTGCACTTATGAATTATTAGAATTAATCATGAAACAATACCTACATGAATTCAATAGTTGTGAAACATCTAAATATCTTAATCGAGCTTACTCGAAGATTTTATATAAATGCCATGGATAATTCTATAGGGCAGTAATTTACCTTTCAAAGATTCGATATTGTAGCAATTTATATTTTTGAAGGTATCTTACTATCGATCTAGAGTATTAACATACACATAATAAAGCCTTTAACACTAAATCTGTGCTACCTCCATTTCAACATGAATTCAGTAAAATAACCACCAAAAGCTATAAATCGATTTTTGTAGCGGATAAAAATTAAAACTACTACAATTGCAGGTTTATCCTCTCCGACATCTATGTATAGTACGACTCCAAATACAGATGATCTTCCTGTTATCAAGACGTTACAGTAAATCACTAATCTCTCGTAGACAAAATCTGAACCCAAGCATATTGAGTAGTCAGTTAATTATCAACAAATCCCAAATGTATTATTTAAGAAAAGTAAGACAAGTATTTATCTGATCACTTTGTGATAATATGTCATAGTACTCTATTATGTATATTCCTAATCATAAATGCTATATAGCACCTACAATAAGAAGCAAATTTCCTAGCTTCGCATCAGATTATGTACTACAATTATTAACGTAGATGTAATAGCAGTATTTAACTTGAGGTTCACTATCACTGAGCGCCCATCTAAGATTTTGCTTAAAATTTATAGAATGTAAAAGAAATGTTCACTTCCGTTGTATTCAATATGTTCCAAATGATTGCGGCATTAACAAAGCACAAGTCGGCGCAGCTTTGGCGGCTATTGGTCGTTCTAGTGATTTCTTACACAAAAATTCAATTTCTTCTGCCGATGAAAAACCGGTATATTTAAAATGGCATTTTAATTTCAGTTCGGTCAAATTTGAAAACTACATCAAGATTTACATTTGCATTACTTTGTTAATCAGAATGGAAAGAGTATTCGACCGGTCAAAAAGAAAACTTCAGGAGAAGTTATCACACCACCGTCACCAAAAAGTAAGATTGGGTAGCATGTTGTATAATGTTAAAATCAATGAAAACACTCTTTTCCGCCTAAATTTTAATGCTTCAGTTAAAAGACTTTTGCTTTTGAATACTCCATGATCACTCTGATCTCCAAGTATGGAAAAACATTACTGACTTAATTATGAACAATTAGGCGAAAGGCGACTGCTTGTTTCTCCATTTCATGACTCATCGGACAGCTCAAATGATGAGGAATCTAAAGATAGAGGTAATAGATAAACTAAGCTAAAAATATTTTCTGAGGGATTAGTTGGAGCTGCTAGTAAGAGAAGATCTTAAGAATTGCTATAGTGTAATAAATTTAGCTTCTATTCCGTTGCAAAGTATAGTTTACTTGCTGGTTACTCGCTCTGTATGATCTAACCACGAAATCTGGCGTAGCCGAGCGTTATACCCAAAACGTTCATATCTATTAATGAATATAAAAATATCTATATGGCATTTGTATACATTATACGCGTATGTTATACACAATCCACGTAGCCGAGTATTATCGCCCCAAAATTTTAAGCACTGTAATTTACTTTGCTCAAAAGACGTTTAATATCTAATATCCATTACCCGTATATCACTAGCTGAAGATACAATATACTAAATAGCACCAAATTTAATTATAAACAATATCAAGCACTGTGCATGCACAAGCAATATGGCAGCAATAGGTGGCAGTGCTTCACTATAGAGTTTAACTGTTTACAGGTTAAAGGAACCTAAATCTAAGCTCTATGAAATCACACTAATGTAGTATAGTACCAATAGTCTTCAATAGACCAAATAACACTAATAAAAGGCATAGATTAAGCTACTTTATGTAAAATTTCAGTACCCGATCTTGACCTTAAAGACTGATATGGTACAGCATTAAATACAATGAACATTGCAGAATTCTGAGAAAAAGAAAGTAATGGAAAATAAAACATTTAAGCACCGGTTTTATGTACTTTCGCTAAGCTATTCTTGGCGCACATGAAATCAAAATTATGTAAATTTACAATTTACATGCCAAGCTAGTAGTTGCTGACAGCAGAGATTGCCTATAAGGCAAGTAAGATAAAGGATGTAAACAACATTAAATGAGTTCCAAACTAGTAATAAGTCAATAACTTTTTGCAGTAATATTCTTAATTGCTAAATCTGAAGTAAAGTAAAGCGTCAACTGCAGGAATACGACGATATTTAATAATTCGTTCCAAATATGTGTATCGATTGATATAAATTAGTGCCATAAATATAAACATTTTATTTCTTTTAAGATTAATCCACCCTGAAGAAAAGCAATACTTTCACTCATTTAAGTTTGTTTACAGTTAACAGAGCAAATATAATGTTAGTTGCATCGTTCTCTCGTTTATTCATATCAATTTGTAATAAGTAGAATCATACCTTGTATCACGGGCTTGTCTTTATTTGATACTCATTGCTAATTAAATATGTGAAAAAAGAGAGAGAAGAAGCCTTCTTTTCAATGAAACGTGCTCTTTTACAGCTTTTTTAACGCTAATAACACTGTCCTGCCGTTTTACATTATTGCGATGATATACTGGACGCCAACAACTCACACACTAGTTACGCATTATACATGAAGAGCCCATCTGTAAGGAGAGTGCAATAATAAAGCATTATTGACAATAAATTATAAAAAATTCATTTTATTACCCAACTATTTACCCCAATGCTCCGTATGTTAAATGTAAATCTCTAATGTTTAACCTTCTTGATTTAGTATATTCAATTGTTAATAACTTCGAAGACATTTACAAAGATCATGAAATACATTCGTATTTAAATTACGACTGAATCAAACTGATGATTTTAGTTTTGCTCCATTGATTCATTTGCTGTAAATAAAATTTGACCACCTTGCTAAAATAAGGTAGCATAATCAATATACAGCAAGTCTTGTACAAGTCTGAGAAATGAATAATTAATACATGAAGATTTTGAAAATTCGCTTATTTAATACTCGTTAAAAGATATTAAGATATTAATGTAACTTTTGTACTGAAACATCTGGAATACATACGGATTTGATATCTTTGCTATTTCTTGATACTTTAGAAACACATGCGGATAACAAAAAGATACATTCGATCGATGATTTTAAGTTTTTAAAAGTTCTTGGCCGCGGAACCTTTGGCAAAGTATAATAGTTTTATAATCGAGCTTAAAATTTTTTACTTCGATCGTTGAATAAGTGTAATGGTGATAGAGCAAAGCATTGCTATTTCCAATAACCTATTAATTTTGTTAAGGTAATGCTTGGTGAATTAAAAAGTACGGGAGACGTCTTTGCTATTAAGATACTAAGAAAGGAATCAGTTCTACAAGACGACGACGCTGAATGCGCCATAATGGAGCGACGAATACTTGCATTATCTATTAAACACCCTTTTCTAGTTGGCCTATATTGTTCATTTCAAACTACGGTAATGCCTCTGTCTCTTCAATCTTAAGATATAGATAATTACATCTTCTGTTACATATTAGTTATTTAATGCTTTATTTTCTAAAGCTGAACGTTCATTTATAGTGAAGTAAACGTCTAATTTTGTATTCTTTATGCATCAATATTCAAAATTATGATTGCTAAAGTTAACTTACTAAATGTATGCTGATTCTACTTTCGGTTCACTTTACTAAATTCTTGCCTATTCATATCTACAGCATCGACTCTTCTATGTTATGGAATATGCTAATGGAGGAGATCTTATGTTTCAAATCCAAAAATATAGCCGATTTAATGAAGAAAAAACTAGGTTCTCTACATGGAAATTTTGCGCAATATTCCTCTGTTACATAATTTTAAGCATTGCTTACTCAACAATCGAATCTAAGGAAACTATAAAACTTGCTACCGAACGCTTTTTAGGTTTTATTCGGCTGAGATTGTCCTAGCCTTGCAGTTTCTGCATCAAAATGGAATTATTTATAGGTTAGCAAAGAATCGACGCTTATACTCGTAACAAATTTTTCGTTCTGTTTACTTTATTTATTACTGTATGCCTTGACCCTCAATGTAACATTGGCTAAATTTATTCCTAACTTCCGGTAATCAATAATCGAGATAGCTTTTCGCTCTTAAGGTTGTAACTTCTCTTAACCCTAAAGACGAATATGCTATTGATAGCTTTTCCATGTTATCTTATATAATCACTATATGAATATATTTGTGTTGTTCGTCTACTTCATTTTATTTGCTTTAATTTATGTTAAATATTTTTAAAACTAACTAAAGCTAACCTTAATTCAATTTTTAGGCTACAAATTACTTCATTAAATATCACTCCTAGCAGTATCATTTTCTGATCGAACTTTAGAGCACATCCAACAACATAACGAAAATGAATCTTTTGTTTTTTGTTTCTTACAGAGATCTTAAACTTGACAATGTGCTGTTAGACAGTGAAGGCCATATAAAAATAACTGATTTTGGTATGTGTAAAGAAAATATGTTTGGTAGCTGCTTGACTAAAACTTTTTGTGGGACACCTGATTATATCGCTCCAGAGGTATGATAACAGATAACTTGAAAAGAATACATTCTTTAAATCTTTCCATTATTAGAAAACTACTAAGACAAATGAAATCAGTCAACTGAAATATTAAATTTTTTAACTTTATTTACCATGACAGATATTGCTAGAGATTGACTATGGATTCTCGGTGGATTGGTGGTCGCTAGGTGTGTTAATGTATGAAATGTTAGCTGGAGAGGTAGGACTAACATGAATTTTTATTATTTTAATACAAGAAAAATATTGTAGGAATGATTACAGACTAGTAATAATTCTATTTCAACAATTTATTAGCCCCCTTTTGAAGGAGATAGCGAAGAAGAACTATTTGAATCCATTCTACATAATGATATTCATTATCCAGTTTGGCTGTCCCGTGAAGCTCTCCGTATTCTCAAAGGCGTAAGTAAATAAAAATTTAATGATATCTTTGGCTAATATATCATTCCATTTTGATTTATATGTAGACTGCGCTATCTCTTTATCAATTTCTATCTTATTGTAAGCAATTATAACACGTGTTTGATAATTTATACTTTATTTTATAGTTATTGATTAAAAATCCTGGCAAAAGACTAGGTTGTACGCTTTCTAAGGATGAGAACTCAATTCGAGATAATGCGTTTTTTACTAATATTAATTGGGCAAAGCTAGAAAAAAGAGAAGTTATACCTCCTGTCATCCCAAATGTGGTAAATATAAAAAGTTGGAATCGTAGTCATGACATTCATATTAATATAGTATTGAAGAAAAATTATAATTTCTTATAAAGATATCAGATTATTTCATTTAACCAACCCCTAAATATTGGTAACGAAATTTATCTTCAATTAAGAACCCATAAACAGATCTAAAATTGCGCTTATTGCTTTTCAAATTCATAAATTTAAATCTAACGTAATATAAATCAGCAGCTTACTCCGCATGAAAAATTATTTCTTAGTCCTATAAATATAATAAGCCCAAATCTTCATTGCATCGCTGTTTTCTTTTCAATTAATAGTCATTTGATCATCGCATTTCAAAGGTATTTATATTAGTATTGATCATATTCACAGCTAAATTTGGTTATCAAATTAGTCTAGCATAGTATTTGACCTCACAGGAGTTACCAGTATAGTCATTAGCCGCAGAGAATTCAACCAAAACATAGCTATTGACAAAACAATGTTGATAAAGGTCAAGCTCACTCTCTTCCCTCCGTACAGTACTATTCTTCATACATATCCTACGTGACTAAATACTTTAGATCATGTTTTAGTTACCACGAAATATCGAGCAAACATAATCACGCAGAGGATCGCTTGATTAGCCACTCATTCATTGCTATTAGTATTTTGAGGGATAAACGATAATTACAAATGCTGGGCTTCGATACATTACTCTAGCGAAGTATTTAAAATTTTCGGTTCCATAGTAAAATTTTGCACAGCGACTATAATTTGAAAGTCAAGCAACAATTATTATTATACCCGTAATTACATGATTTGGAATTATCATAACGTTACAAATTATTATCAGCTGAGTTCATTAAAAAGCTCTTTCTTGATCTTCAGAAAAATAGATATGATTGTTCAAACTTCGATGAAGAATTTGTAAATGAAAAGCCCATATTAACACCAACCGGCGATAGTACACTTGACTCCATTGATCAACAGGAATTTCAAGGCTTTTCTTTCGTAAATCGAGGTAATATAAAATTTTACTCAAGTCAGAATTAATAACGTACACTATACAAGTTAACTTAGCATATTTAACAGAAGCAACGTTGATATATCGATAAGTTTTATGCGTTAGTTTAACTTTCATAACTATTACAACGTACACAATTCAATATGGTCATCCTAGTAAATCTAATTTACGAATATTATTTCTTTTTATTCTTAGCTTGGAACGAATATCGAAATTATTACAGTACCGAAAATGTTTGACGATAGCTGACTTAATGAATAATCACAATTTTTCAGAACCCCTTAATAATAGTTAAATCATACTTCGCGTATATTCTATTGTGATTTATAGGGAATTATTAGTACTAAATTTTAGATGGAGGACCCGGTGCAATTATCTTTAACTGCTAAATTGCGAGTGGATATTTTATTGTAACATTGTATAACCAGTTTATAATAAGAAATTTTAAGCATTTCCTTAATTATTTATCGCATACTAGTGTACCTAATAATTCCTATTATGATCTCATCTACTATAGTGGTTACCGTCGTTCTTACTGATTATATTAATTATTTGTTATTCAATTTACAGCAAATTATAAAGCAAGCATTATTTCGATCATGTTAGCGATAAAAATACCCTAGATTATGGTTATAAATTGGTTTAACCCTGCCCGCTCTACGACAAGACAACTGATGATAAAAAAATATGAAATTTGATTACCAGACTAGTTTTACTAATCATTACCGAACTCAATTAATGCCACTGTATTATATATATATACGTAAAGCCGTTGTAAATGAAAGAGAAATAGGATATCATCCATTTGTCATAGAACATGAATTAATTTTATCGTGATTGCAGACTTGTGACTTTTAAAGTTCACGTATTAATTTCCTTACATTGCAGTATTACTGAAGATTATATCAGCATTCATAAGTAATTTATGTATGTAACATTCATCAATGGGTTTTAATTAAGTAAATGGATTGACAAACATAATATCGTACTAACATTCTTCTTGACTTATAATCATTATTCTCTACCAGCTGAATTTTCTTACTGCTGTAGTCAAGGTATTACAAATACTATATCTCTTTAAAGAAGCAGTCTTATCAACACTACGATCGTAGCTTAAGAGGATAAGTTGGATAACCACTACATACTTTTCATTGATCAGAAATGTTTGATATCCATGCATCTTAATTTAAAAACTGAGCTAATAACGAAATTGATAGACAGTAATTGAACATTTTGAAGTACTCATCAAATACCACTTACCCCGTGAACGTTGTAATAGAATTATCAGAAGTTCTGTTAGGCTCTTAAATCATTAAACTTTCAACGTTCACTTATAGATTATTAGCCAGAGTAAACCCAGCGTAGCCGGGCTTTTCTACACTAAACGTGTTAGTCTATTACTTCACGCAAAATATCTGTATACACGCCCTAAATTCGCACTTTATGATTCAATTATACAATACATACTATTTTATTAGCCGCATATGCGTAAATGAGTTGATCGTCGCGCGTTCCGTTCGCTTCTCCGACCATAGTTAAAGCAACCTCGTTTGTCGGTGGTGCTCAGTATATGGTCTCTTGAAGGCATCAATTACAATTCAGTATTCGGGCAAATCCATATTCTCCAGAGCGGACTTGAAGCTTTCCACGTATGTGTGAGTGGAGTGCAGCATCTCCTGAAGATCGAGAATATTGTTCTGCTTGACTCCTTTGTTCAGGGCGCACCTTTGATTAGCATAGCTTCTCTGACCCCATCAATAAAGTAGACTTGGATATAAATTAATTCTTCGTTCGGAATGAGTCGAAGACCCCCAATACGGTGATTTACTTGGCCCTGAAGTTCGAAGGTGGTGAAGAACCTGCGATTGGTGAGGTCCTTGTCGTATCCGAAGCTCGCGAACATAAAGGCCGAGTTGTCCTTCCAAATGTTTTCTCAAACATGCTTTGCATCTGATGAATCGTCTGTGAGGAGAGTCTTCAAGGCATCAGGAGGTTCGAGCTTGACTTTGTCTCCTTTGCATGTAACATTATGATCTTATATAGAAGATGCCTAGTATAGTAATATCCTAATATACGAATACTTATCATATACCATTTAAGTACTGTATTGCATTACATTCATAATGTACATCATGGCGACATATAGACGACATGCTATACATATAAAGACATTATCTCAATCTCATCTAAAACCTATAAATACCCTTGTAAGCTAACTCGTTAGTCAGTTCCTACATTCCTGCTATCTCAAATACCTTATCTATAATAACCATATCATTGTTAGCCTATAACTTATATCTCAATAAAATCCTTTATACCTTCTATCATCGTCTACCTTAAAATACTTTACGCTACTTAAAGAAGATATTATTACACTTGGCAGCAGAGGCCTTTGCTTCGCCGGGAAACTTCTTCACTCTGTAATAATTAGGCTCTGTCCATTTTGGAGTTTACCAGCGTGGTAATGAAATCATAAACAAGTCACTGTTGACTCGTGCGTTGCGCACGGTTAATCGCGTCATTTGAAAGTATGTTCGAAAGTAGGTAACGGTAGGCGACAGTGCTCCACCATACAGTTTAATGGTTTAGAGGTTGAAATATTTTTATCAAAGTTCTTTCGCCATTTTAAAGTCGACGAGGACCATCTACACTTAATGCTTATTCCAAAGGTAAGCATAATTTTCACCTCCCACTCTCCGTTTGGACGTGATGCAATTACAAAAAATCGGCTTCTACTTTATGGATATGAATGCTATGGCCCTATAGCATAGTAATAAAAGTAAAAAATGGCTATATTGTTTAAGCTATTCGTATGTCAGAATTAATACCGTTAGTATAATATTCGATTCACGGGGTTACAATTTACTATGCAAAATTTGTACGAGCAGTCGCTTGTAGAATTCTCCTTACTTACCTAGGATTCTTCAAGCTACTTTCTTACTATAACCCTTAGCACCAGACTATAATATCAATAACTAGTCTACTGAACTTTACAAGTGGTACTAGTCCAGTAACGTATCGCGTTGCTGTGGACTGTGATTCATAATGCTGCTTATATTTTTCCTGTAAATACGCGAGTTATGCAATGGTTAACATTAGATAATTACCCAATAGTACAATGTTGCAATTCTGCATTATTCAGCAGCCTATGAACTGTGATATCTCTATTAGCGAAGCAACTGGACATTAAGCTAGTACGAATTAATATGAGCCATAATTGATGGCAATGACAGCTAGCTATAAAGGCCCTCACTCTGTATTAAACAGAGAATAGGAGTGATTACCACAGTATTTAGCATTAGAAAAGTTTGTAATTGAAGAACTATGCAATATAGAGTACAAATTTAGATAAACTAATCAAAGAAATTCCTTGTTATAAACCATTTTTTACAACAAGAATAATGTAGAAACCAATAACGTAGGAATAAATCTATAATTTCATGATACTATTGGAATTGATTGTACACCTAAATTAAATTTTTCACACTGACCTAAATGTCTTTGATTTTACGTTAGTTAACTAACTACGTGTATAGGTTAGAAATTAAACGACCGAATATTATTGTGCAACCTACTAGGCTTAAGTGCTCTTCGGCAACAGTTGCAAGTAATAGTATCGCAAGCTTTCACATTTCCCATGAATTCACGAATCATTTATGGTATACTATTAGGTGGAATTACAGTCTTAAAGGTGCGCACTGTAATCAAATAATCTCATCTACAAGTTCCGGTATAACCTAAAATCTGTTGTAACACAATCATTGCTACAGTAATTCCTACTAAAAGCATGTAATTTCATTCACCAAACAAAGAATTAAACTTTAAATTTGGTGATCTACTCCATACTGCATTTTGCAGTATTTAGCTGTTTATCACTGTATCTTAGACAACGCTTTCTAGAAATCATAGATACTAGTACAAACTCACGTCGCTTTGCTGACTTTTTGCGATAATGTACCCATTTGTTAATAATTAACAGATAGTATTACCATTCGACATTATATATATCCCGGTAATAGCCAGGTACTACTATATTCACAGCTATGCTTGTAGAGTATTACTTTTCAATAATGCATTCACTGATGAAATGCTATATTAAGATTAGTTAATAGTCCAAAGCACATTATGATAACTAATGTACGGTGATGGACATACCAAGTTAAGATTAGCAGGTACTGTAAGATATCGACAGTGTGGTACAATGTCCTTAGTAATGTGGTCAATTCTATACCAATCATTATAGTGTGTTTAAGGAACGCTTGCGTATGCAAGCAAAGCTTGCTCTGTCGATAACTGCTGTTATGAGAAAATGTCACAATCAAAATGGCTGTGTAGGAAACTCTATAAAGATTCTATGTTTATTCAATTTTCATCAGAGTATTACATCAAATCAAAATTGAAAGGCCCAGTAGCCACCCTTGGCGATATAACGAATACTATTTTAAAAATCAGTACTCTGCAGAAATTGCTACCTTAGACGCTATTCGTTTTACATGAAGAAATCTTGAGGTAAAACGTCCTGTAAGAATCTTATACTGACCTATTGAAATGAACCCATAATCAGAGTCATCTAACAGTAGTATAAATACCCCCGCGCTGCTCGTTAGGGTGGGTGGGATAAGCCAGAGAGAATATTTAGTCAAGTTGAACGTTTGGTTGCAGAGATTTTTATTCAATGTTGCAGCGATTAATCCTAAAGTTGCATTTAAACGTATACATATATAAAAATATTCATTACAATTTTCGTCTAATAGCCACGGACCTACTCTAGAATCATATTTGACAATTGTACAACATATTGAAAGAATGGCAGCACTGGTTTTGTAATTATCATTATTAATAAAACTTGCGCCATTGATGACTTAAATAATCAATAAAGGTGACCTTTCAAAAAATTTTAGGTGTAAAACGCATTGTAAACTAGAAGCACCAATCGTTACTACATGAGTAGGTATTATTTTCTACTGCCATTCCTGCTATTGGAAAATCAATCATAAGTATCATTTATAGCTATTGATAGAACTTAATCTTATCTAGTTCAGTCAATATCACCATATACGATACCATAGTAGAGGAAAGTGCAAATACGGCCGTATTAAATCAATTGCATCATTTTATCACGGCTAGAGATAGTTTCTATCTGGTATTATTAAGTGTGATGCTTACAGTTTTTAAGTCATCGATGTTTACGTCCCTATAACTTGTATACCTATATCTATATCATTCTAGATATACTTATTTACATTTAAATACGAAAATTAACCTATAACATCAATTTAATACAAGAATTTCAATATAATAGATGCTAACTGATAGCTAGTAATCATAAATTAACAAATGTTGATATCTTATTTGTTACATTACTAAGATTTATAGAGTTGCTTGATTCTGCCTGAGATTAAACCATAATATAAATATAAATCAAGTTTAACGCAATAATGAATTAGTTGTCGGAAAAGTCATTACCAACGTGAATGGCTTCAAGACTACTGATTATAAGGATTTACAATGGGATAGCTATTATCGTAATTATTATTAAGTTATGTCATCTATTTTAAACTTATGGTCTTTATAAGACATCAAGTAAATGTGCAAAAAGTACAATAGAACAAATTGCTCGTTAAATTATGATAATAAAATGCAGATCGAGTAATAGACATGATCTGATCAGATTTAGCATCATAAAAGTGCTTCGCTACCAATTAAAAGGGAATAAAAATTAAATGAAGGGATTAAGTGAAAAATTATTTCATTAATTCAACTAATCGTCTAGCCCACTTATAGAAGATAAGAAAAATTTTGTGGGCGCATGTTCTATCCATTCGTCCGAAGTCAAAAGATCAAATAAACATTTCAGTCAATTTGGTTATTAATTAAACTTAATTAAGGTATTTTATAGCATCAGTAAGGGTAAAGACAAGATTACTACCGTCGCATCAATATTTTTCTTGTCATAGAATAATCAAGATCAGCTTAGATCAAGTACAGATGAACGAACTGTTAAAACAGCAATATGATAGCTTTCATAAATATGTATATGACTTCTAACATAATATATTATTAAGACTTATTATCTAATATTGCTTTATATAGAAGAAGATAGACGCTATCTATGTCAAACTTAAGTTACTATAATAACTTGATAGCATAGCAGTTCCAATATATAGCCCTGCATCAAATTAATTACTCATGAAGTGGTCATAGGAGTCAAAATTATTATAGCCCTACGTGGTAATCATCATAATAAAATGATCCAAAGCAGAAGGAAATATGAGTGTGTAAAATTACCTAAGGCGAAAGAAATACGATCATTTGCTCGTTATAAACTTCATACAGTACTTCACAGTTATATACAGATACAGTATGTACTGAAATAAGTATGATATTGTATAAGAAAGAAAGGAAAACATATTTAAAATTATAGGAACAGCTTAAAAGAAAAGAGAGTATATCGAATAAGTACTGTTAATCCAAAATACTTCTATAAAATCGGTGTTGAAAAGTATATATGATGTTGTTTATACTTGAAGGCAATTGAGTAATACATCCATTTCTTTTCAGTACGATTACGCGTTAGATGTTGATTTAAGTGTCTTGAGGACGACATAAAGCTAATGTAAAGTAATTATAGCTTGTTATTAATCTAAACTTTGATTTTGCAATGGTCGATACTTATATAATGTTGATTGTAAATTCTTTATGTATTGTATTCAATATTTTCATGATGGCTTGTTTAAGTCTTCCAAGATATCTTAGTATCGGTTAACAGCTTAATGTGCAAATAAAAGCTCAATTAATATTGAAAGAATCGATAGGAAGCATAGATTTATAGATTTTTAATCTTTAATTGGTAATCTTGAGGGCTTCAGTATATATATATATATTTGTTCCATCTTAATTTTTCTGTATCTTATTATTTAAGGCAGTATTTATTTTCTGTAGGCCAATTTGAAGTAAAATAAGAAATTTTAAGTCCACCCAATCGTGCGGGATAAAGCAATATATAGCACCTATTTATACACTATCGATTCTTATTTTTCTTTACTTTATTAACTGAAAAGGTTCCATTTTCATCTCGATTAGTAGAAGTTGGTAACGTAACAAAATCAGGCTGTCTAAACCATTGTCTTGCAGGACGTTGCGATGAATAATTTTCATTAGGCAAAATTGTTGTTGTGCATTGTATCCCATCAAAATCGACTACGCAATCAACAGTTTTGGGATGATAATTTTTCAAACTGTCATCGTCACCTTCCAATATTTTCTTAGCTTTTCTATTTTCTTCTAATTCTACGTCATGTAAACTGATTTCATCTGGACCTATATTCTTGGTCATGCTGCTACCACAACTACTTACACTTTGGTTACGATAGATTGTTATATCGCTATCTTTCCCCAGTTTATTATTACTAGCAATGCTTGTTGAGCTTTCGCTTTTGCTATTGATAAAAACAAAAAAAATTATTAAATTTATAATAATAGCTATATTAATAACTAGCGTTTAGCATCAATCTAATATCAATGATATAAAAATCTTTTTATTGCTTTAATATGGAGAGAAAAACCCTGGATTATATCGGCTACCTTTTTAATTTAGCACTGCTGTTATTGAGCTTATCACAGTTTTGCTTAGCATAGATTTTTTCCGGTCCAAGTTGATTGGGCTGCACAGCGGCACCAGTATTATTCGAAATAACTTTTACAAAATTTTCGGTGACAAAATTTTGGTTATCATCTTTTGGCTTAGCTACTTTTTCTAAAGTTCTTTTGCGATGCGGGCGACATTTAAATAGAATGATTACCACGACTATTAGCAGTAAAGCAGCACCACCAGCAGATGCTAATATTGGTATTAGCAAACTATTGCCTTCTAGTACAATTAACCAGAAGTGGCATTAATTTTTAAATTGGTATACATATCTCCTACTATTATCCAGTTAATTTTTTCAAATATTAAATCAAGATATTCCTTGGATCTCTTACCATTTGTCGCTGCTCCAGAACTTGGTGAATCATCAATAGTAGTAGTTATAGTTTCAGTAATTGCTTTTGAGTCCGTTTCTACAATTTAAGCATGTGTTAAAATATGTCAATTATAGAAATAGGCAAAGCCACCAGTTTGAGGTTTTTGCGTAGATTTATAATCTGTTTAAAATTATGAAAAATAAGTAGCCTTACCTATTGTAGATATTTGAGTTGTTGGCGGCGCCGATGAATAAATAGAATAATTACAGTTCTTACCGCTAAAGCCAGGCATACATGTACAGTCATAATCATCAATAGCATCAATGCATGTACCACCATTAGCACAAGGTTGCGACTGACATTGATCGATATTAGTCTCGCAATTGGATCCAGTAAAATCCGTTGCACACTCGCATTTGTAGCCATTTGAATTAAATTCACGGCAAACACCACCATTGTGGCATGTAACTGTTGCACATAATCCATTAACACGTTGTAATTCGCATATATTTCCATAGTAATCATCGGTACAATTGCATTCATAATCATTAATTAAGTCCACGCACTGGCCTCCATTTAAGCAGTTAATTTCTTCAGTACAATCATTAATATTAGTCTGACATAAGTCGCCAGTAAAGCCACTGAGGCATTGACAGTAATAGCTGCTGAGACCGTCATGACAGCTTGCACCATTTTGACAGGGATGGCTTGCACATTCATTAATATTAACTTCACAGCGTTTACCAGTCAATCCGGTTTGGCAATCACATTTAAAGTCTCCTAATAAGTCGGTACAGTTACCACCTAAGAAGAGATAATATACGGTAAAATATGTGATGTTAACTGTTCGTAGCTCGACTATACTCGAAGCAGAAATAAAATCCAATCTCTAATTCGATTGCTAAAATTGTACGTAGAGATATTTTCATTTACCGTTTCGGCAAGGATTTGATTTACATTCGTTTATTTCAGTCTCGCAATAGTCTCCAGTAAAACCTGTTCGACATTTGCATGAATATTCACCAATGCCATCTATACAGCTTGCACCATTTTTACAGGTGTTATTTACGCATTCATCGATATTGATCTGGCATAACATGCCTTCAAAACCCGATGGACATTCACATCGATACCCATCAACTAGATCCTATCGAAATAATTATATATTTATAAAATACAGTACAATAACCATTTATAACCGATTTATAGCGGATAGCAATGTAAGGCAAATTCAATTCACGGGTTAAGCTTAAAATTTAACGATTTACATTAGTCGTCTTACCACACATTTAGCGTTATTTGTACATTCATGGGAAAGACAGTCATTAATATCTGTAACAAGCAATAAACCAAATCTTACTTTCGCATTTCATAAATAATAATTGATAGTAGTGCCGTATTATTAGATTTAACAGTTAAGTACCAATTTTTTAATTATGCAAATAGGTAGACTTACTTGTTTCACAGTCTCGTCCAGTAAATCCCGGAGGACACATACAAGAGTAGTTTCCTGGTGAAGTATTACTACATGTTGCTCCATTATGGCATGGTGAATGATTTTGACAGAAATTTTTATCTATAAAAAATTTACATAAATTTATCATAAATTTGAGCATATGGCTTTGATTACATTTGTTATCTATGTGTATCATTCCCTTACCTTTATCGCAGTAAACGCCTCCCCAACCAGCATCACAATCACAATCGTTCGGCTTTTGGCAAGAACCATGAACACAGTTAGGATCTGGGATACATTGTTGGCATGTCGGCCCAGTCCATCCCGCACCACAACTATAATTTTATTACATCAATCCAATAATTAGAAAAAAACTACTCTTGCTATAGGTGGTCGTTATTCTGTTTAAAGATATGGAGTTAGTAGACTAAATAATGGGACTAGGACATCTAGTATTGCTCTTACAAGAAACTTGTGTTTTAAATCCTTTACCTGCATTTATTGGGTACAATACATGCTCCATGTCCTCCTTCGATACAACCTTCTGGACATTCAACTAGAAACAGAAGATAACGTGTCAATATCGATATCGATATTGTATGCATCTTTTCATCATAATTTTAATGCATACAAATTTATTACTATGCCGTATAGGCTTAAATATGGCCTTTAAAATATAAAACGTCAGATTTTTTAACTTAACTTAAGATTTACTGAAATTAATGTTTACATATTAGTTGTCCTAGATAATGCTACAAGATAGTAAACCTTACTTTCTTCACAAAATTTGCCTTTCCAACCAGGTAAACATTCTTTCTGTCCTTTATCATTACATGTATAATGGCCTAACAGGTCATTGCGTGGTGTGCATGCAATATCGCAGCCAGGTCCATAATAGTGACGATCACAAACCAATCGATATTCGAAAGCCATTTCAACATGACCATTGGTTGTTTCTCGTTCATTCCACCCTGCCCCGCTGTAGATTGCATCGCGATATTCAACTTTGTCAATGGTATCTACAATGATGGTAGTTCAGAATAAAATTATACTACTATCATTTTATGATCAGATTGCGAAGGTAATTACGTAAGATGCAGATTCATTTCAGTAGTTAGCATTGATAGTTAAATATCGTAGATTTATTATCCTTCTAATATTATACTTGTGATTACTATAATTTAATAATCACTTTGCTAATGTTTCAAGATCTATACGCAGGTTAAATTTATACTAATATTTTAGCTCCGTCTATTTTGGAATTTACGGATGCATCTACCCGAACATGATAATCATCCAGTGTTGATACTGAATAAAGACTAAATGATTCTAGATTTACTATGAGATATTAATTAGTTTTGAAAACTTTATATCACGTGTCATCATCTATTCTATCCGACCGGTGTTACCATAGTAACACCTTTGAAAACCATTAGGAATCCGATAGCGCTGGCATTAATGTCAAGAAGTTGTATGTAAAAATTATAAAAACTTATCAAGCATATCCTAACCCTGTCTTTAGTATACACTAGAAGTAAATTGGTGTTAACTTTAAATTGTCTACTACAAAATGATTCTACAGAAATATCATGATATTATTCCAGCTATAGTTAGATTTGATTCGAATAATGAGAATGTATGAAAATTATCATAGGCTACGAAGATGTATATTAGATCATCACGGTAATTATAAACTCGAAAGATAAGTCATTGTATATGAGAAAAATGATACGACGATGCAGGTACAGTTGTATACTGTGTGTTAATCGGAGTACAGCTATACTGTCATTAGTTTGAAAGTTAAAATAGCCTTTGATGCGGCGTGGAAATTGCAAATCAAAATTATCGTAAAACGTCAGCTGGCAATTCTTTATAATCTATTGTTGATTCAATGTCAGCTGTTTTCTCTGTAACAATAGCGTAATTCACGTCAAATTGATAATCTTTTACAATAGTTTTATTCAAATTAAAGTTGAACAGGTGTGAAGGACAGCGGAAGCGTCACTAGATGCATCCAAACACTAATTTGTTTTGATTAATTAATCTTCAGGACGTTAAATGGAAAGAAATAAGACTTTTTAAAATCAAGACGATGATGATGCATTAATTAACAATATTATCTTCAAAATAAATCAAAACCATGGCAAAAGTAGTCATTAGGGTAGAGGATAAATAATATATGGTGATAATCAAAATTTTTACTTACAATCGAGAACTCCAGAGTAACTGCGCTAATATTCTAAATATCAGCTAGCAAGTGCTTAATCTTACGGATATTTACCATATTTTTAGCTAATTTCTTATCAAATATTCAAGATTACAAGTAAAATATTCACATGGTGTGGGTGGTAAACAGAAATGTAAACTATTCAATGGCGATACAAATAAAATAGTTGAGTTGCGATTTATGATCGAATAAAGATGATCGGTTATTAAACACTAGAAATGCTACTTGATAGGGTGATAACGCAGAGTATGTACTTTGTATTCCTAGGTTAACATTCCTAAGAATACAACTTGATAAAATAACCAATTAAAAGAAACATTGGTTAAATCGAATAACAAAAATTAAATCAACTTAATAGACCGTAATTGGCAATCAATCTAACTTAAACGATTAACGTAACGTGTAGTTGATATACACTAGCAAATTGAAGGATATTAATGAATATTATCTAGCATCCTTTCTTGATTGTACATATTGCTTGAATTGCACGAACTTTTAGCTTATATCGTTCACTACCTTACTTGCTAGCTTATAGTAATTTTCTCTGCCATTTTTTGTCACATGCTTATAATTCAAACTAATACATATTTCATAATTAAAGAGACTAAATTTTGCGATGAGAACATTCCCATATTAATCTTATTGTAATTTAGAAAAAAATAATCATGAGCACTATATGTTCATCATTGATCGAGAATATAAGCCGTAAACTTGTATGACAGTTACTTGAGGACCATATTCATCAAAATAGAAAACTTACTACTTACTAAGTTTATAATGTTTGTTTGTAATATAAAATTCGCTAATTATACTAGATATTCCCAATAGCACACTGGCGATTTTTACTATTTCAGTTATGATTATTACTTGTCTCTTTTCATTTTTATCGCAAGCGATTATAAATTGATATTAGAAGATCGTATAATTTCTTGTTTAATCACTTTTCAAGGCATTTAGCAGTAAATTTAAGAAATAAATATGTTTATTAATAATATGCTATTCTGTCCTAGTATTTTCACTACACAATTCAAACTATGCGAAATCTATTGCCTAAAAACTAAATTAATTTTATTCCTTGCATACGTATACAGTGAATTAAGAGTCGGATGTCAATGCTATAATAAAGTATATAGGGAAAAGGACGGAAAAACGAAATTAGCGCGGTAGATGAGGACTAAAGAGTGACCTAATAGAATATAATAATTATATTGTCTTAAGCGATTGTCTGATTTGAAATGCTAGCCTTCCCAATGGACATCTGTTGACTATTGTATAATAGTATAATTATGATCATTAATCGAAAAAATAATATCAAGTATGCAGTATTATTATTATCGTGTGTAGCTGGTAGAGAAAATTCAATTTGCTAAGTATATTGAATTTACCATTAATAATACCAACTCTTAATATTAAACAAATACTTTTGTCCGAATTATTAATGTTAACGACAATTGATCAATATTTCCTGTCCGAATCAAGTACTAAACATTCAGTGAGAGAAATATCCGTCAATCTAATTGTCTATATAAATGAATTTCGATCACAAATATTTAAATTTTCAGGATACTAATGTAATAGTTTGTGACGGCTAAGTTATTACTTATTGCAGTAATATTTTACATTATCTGTAATAAAATCTTAGATGTTTGTCTATACTCGTATACATAATTTATACTGTATTCATAATTTGATCGAATATAGAATTAATGAACTTGTTCATGACCGTAATACTAGGGAAATTAGATGCATTCAACTATTTATAAGAAAATATATGGGCATTCGCTAGAAATTTTAAATTCAACTGGATTTAAAGTAAATGATCTTTCGCTACCAACGTGTTACTCTTATTAAATTAAATTAAAATTATCCATATCATGAATGAATATTTAGCATCATCAATATAGTATTGTGATTCATGAAAGTGATGCATCTCCAACGTAGTATAAGGAAAGCCAATAAAACATCAACATTAATATTTATCAAAGCAAATCGTAACTTATATTCTATTAAACAATAATAGTTGGGTATCTCTAGACTATTGTCAACTGGATTGTTCTGACGTAAAATATAGAAATAAAGTCATTAAAAGACCGAAGTTAAATTGAGCGATAACGATGAACAATAAGTTTTCAACCGATTATAAAAATATTCAATAGGTGATAATAGACGTCAATTGTATTCGAATTGAACTTGAAAGCTAACAAATAACATCAACAACAACATACAACACCAAATTGATGATTTGACATACCGGATTTAAGTGATGATTTCTTATTTAATGCTTCGACAACAAGGATAAATGCACCCTATAAATAATAACGTATTAAATTTTTTCATCAATATTATTGTAATTGAAAATAATTAGTATTAAAATTTTTCATGATGCAAACCAATAATCAATGGCCTCTATCAGTTAATTTTACAAGATAAAAGAATGTTGGTATTCTAATGGAATAAGTACAAAAATCCGTACAAAACTCATATAAGCAGTCTAATTATTATGCTGTACAAAAATCAGCGTCCATATGGTAGAATTAAGATCACTCATTGATTTAATACATGATATGCGATTGTATCTCCTCTATACTTTTTTTACTTATCTAAAAGTCGTATTCTAAACGGACACAATACAAATTGTGCAGCTGTCGCAAAACCTCCTAATCAAGTCAAGTTGGGAAAATGACAGGATTTCTGGCCATAATGATATAAAATAATAATTGTAGCATGATCGGTTAATTTTGTGCATCTACTTTAATCAAATGAAATATGAGTGAAAGTTTTTCATTCTCCTCCCAAAATTGAAAGTATGCTAAATGGGTAGAGTTACATTATTTTCCTCTGTAACTTGGAAGTATGCAAGGAATTCTGACTACACAGTAAGTTGAATTATCAGAATTAACATCTAATTGGCAGGAGGATTCAAATAATTGAGCTCACGAAAATAGCATTCGTAATAAGAACAGATTACAGTACGTTGGATAACTGGAAGCGAAAAAATATCTACTCGGTCTTAACAGCTAAATTAGCGAACAGAAACATAATTTTAACATCACGAGAATAAAAAATACCCTAACTATTAATATAAATAATAATTTTTTTCTTATGTAGAATAATAAATAATTCAATTTTTGGCCAATTTATGATGTATTGAAAGCGATTACGTCTACTTTTTATCATTAGTCGAAATAATAGGTAATACCTACCAAAGAATAGTTAGAGGTGTTGTTTTGGTAGCAGGAAAAACAACGATAACTTATTTTGCAAAATTATCAGGGAGAAAGAATTGATTTCCGATCAAACAATAATTCATGTTTTGCTTAAATACGTATTTGTAATTCTAATTCGAACTAATTTATTGAATGATAAATAGTACTGTAAGTACGTATAGATTTGTTACGGTCAATTTTAAGAACAACCAAAACAGATGTATTTCTTCCGAATTTTTTAAACTGATCTTTCTCCTATTCGATTTTGATTTCCTTAAGTTATAGTCTAGATATATTGCTATTGATCATCTTAATGAAAATAACAAACAATTAAAAGGAATGTTTGTAGACATGATTGCGGCTATGATAATGAAAGACTCATAAATGATTCACTCGAGAATACGAACATTTTCGCCGGTATAGGACATGGTACTAATTAAAAACTAAGCTAATAATAAAATAAGACGGCTTTTGTCTATTCGTCATATATAATATCATAGCTAGAATAAATTGATTGAAACCAGCTGTAGTACTTTGTGTCATAAGTAAGAGCATATTTAGGAAAGAGTTATAGGAAACCATATTCTTAGAGTTTCATATGAATATGAAACTTATTATAATATGCAATTCTGCCTCAGAATAAGACTAAGACTTACAACTTTATAAAAAAAGGATCATAAATGGAAATACTCATATGAAGTAGGTTCTATTCTAAATGGCTACAATGTGGGAGGGAATTAACATTAGCCTAAATAAAAAAGACGGGATAGTGAATGATAGGATAGTTCATACTCTCCGCCATAAACAGATATTAGAGTAAGATTCCTAATTATTTTTAAAATCGTAGCTGAAATGAATGTAGGCGAATATCACGTACAGTGCTGTACTAGACATTTACACTGCAAAACCAATTTAAACAAACGTGATCTTGACTATTTACCCCAAGGAACAAAATTATGAAAACTTTCACCGAATCGAAGAGAACCACAATAACAAAGTAGAAGGACAAATAGATAAGCTGAAATATACGTTTGATTATGAATGCAGAATGTAGCGGTTCAAGCATGCAAAATACTTATTGATACGTATAGTTTGTAGTCGCACATACACGTATTTTTACAAACATATATATTTATGAATTAGTTTATATATTGAAAGGATTAGAGTTGAGTATTAATTTTTTGTTGTTGATATGTTGTTTGGGGGTGGATAGGAAGGAAATTTTGTAAAAGAAAAGAAATTAAAATTTGTGATTGAATTTAGACTATCACAAATCATCAATACCTATTGTAATAAGCGGATAATTTAGATAAAAATTAACACATAAACTAACATATTTATGGACTTACCGGCCATGTAAAATTAAAGTGGATTGATATTGGATTATGAAAATTATCTTTTAACTTTCCAGCGCGCAAAGTAAATGAATTTTCACCTAATACCGGAGTTGTTACGTTGCCAAAACCACACATACCATCGCTGCTATCTACTTGATCGCGTAAACATATCTTAAAAAATGTTTGACATGGCTCAGAGCATGTTCCGCCATGTATTAAATCACCATGGCAGCATTTCTTAGCTGCTGTTAATCCCAACTGGTTGGTGATAGAATTTAATTTAAATTGGAAAGTCCCTACCGATTCTACGGGCTAAAATTATATGAGAACGAAAAGAAATAAATATACAAATAACAACATCTAATTCAACTTCCTTTAATCAAAATTTTGCTACACTGATGCATCTACCCTAAGAGTGCTTATCTATAAAGAATTCGCAATATTTTTCGATACTTCAGCGTAAAATAAATACTATACAACTGGTTAATATTATATTTAAATTTTACACGTATAGTCTCACAGTTAGAATTTTATCCACCTCTGGCAATGATACAATGAAAACTTTAATAATAATCTATAGGGTCATTTTTAATAAATGTAAAATTATTCTCTTTATCTGATGATAGAAAATTTCTACAATACAGAGTAAATGGAAATATGAATATCAATTTTTAGTGAAAAGTACTATAAAGCATTTGAGTTTATGATAGAAACTTGAGTTGCTGACAATTTATGTGACCTATTTTTAATTTATCCAGAGTAAAGGTATTAAAACCCATTCTAGCCGATAGTGGAAATTAAATGGGACATTATGTGCGTTGATTGATAGTCAAATATCTTCTATTGACATATTGTACTGTTTGCTTGCTTTTTATCTACAAGTTTTAAATTGTAATAAAAATTCAAAAATGATATTAACAGAGCTAGGTATTTTTATCATACAATGTTTTAAGGCTAAAATGAAGCACTAATAACTATTGATGCATTCCAACTGAAATATCGGAGACTCTAGACAACTTATATTTGTTAAGAGTGTGAGTTGCAAGATCCACTTCCATATGGATTCTTAATGAAAATTATAATACTGATAATTATATTTAAAAGATAGAATTGGTTTTCTTTCTGATAGAAAGACATCAATAAGTAAATTATATTTATACATATCAAATTATATCAATTATATTAAATATTCAAACTTTTATGCAAAGTTTACATATAGAAGTAAACTTTCTATCAAAAGGATGAGAATGTCATCTGTATTTTAATCTACATAATATATTTAATTTCAGTAATCAAAAAGCGAACTGAATATAAATCTTGCACCTTAGACGAAGGAGAAAGAAAGGTTGAGGATTAATTGATAACGTTTAAACTGTCAATAGACTGTCTAGAGCATAACGGATATAATTTATCCGTCTATGTCTAAAGAGAGACATTGGTATATAACTTTGAGAGAATACAAATACTTAAATTGTACACTATATTTCCTATAGATACCCTACAGTATTCGCATTTTAACAAAATGAAAGTATAAAAGTATCTATTCTATCCTAGAAGAAAGACATAAAGACGTTTCATCGGCAGACTTCAGTTGTATTCTTAAAACAAAATAAAAGGCTATAGCCTTTTATTTTGATGTCCAGATCGTTACTAGTAGTATACTACTAGTAACGATCTGGACGTCAATTACGAAAAATAACTCTAAATCTGCTCGTATAATTTACTTTAAATATCATCAGCTTCAAATATACTGTACTAATTTATCTGTAAATTTCCACTAATACTGTATACTGCTATTAAATAATTTACATCAATTATGATCATTGCAGTTATTCCGCATTATTATCGATGCATAAAGGGTAATAAGATTACCACATAAGGTCAAATCTGTACTACGATGGATAATTGGTAAATTGGACTTTACAGTCTAACGCTAATGAGAAAAGGAACAATATTATTAATGTTCTATCAATAATAAAATACAATACACTCTCACGTCTTGATTGAAATGGAATAAGGTTTTGTATAATTAAATAGAACGATTGTATTTCGTCTATCTATCTTCGATGTAAAATTATGAACAGTTAATGTAATTGCAAGATATCAGAAATGATTCATCATATTAATATGTATCGCAAGAAATAATTCTGGTACATGAACGATTGAGGTTATAAAAGTGAAAGCATAACACCGGCTTGTTAGAGGTCGTAGAAATCGATGAATTATTCTCTTCAATAAAAAGAATCGAATTTATGCTAAACAATTTAATAGACAGTGATAAAAATACTTAAAGAGATTGCACAGCAATTAAGAGAAAATACACTGGCAATATTTGAACTTGTCTAAGGATAAAGTTATATGTTTGTATTATGGTCCGTAATTGCATTGAAAATATACGAGAAATAGAGAGATAGACAACAGCCTACCCTTATTTCATCTATTTTTTCTAATCTTTAGTTATAATTAATTCGCTGATATTTTTCGTTATTTATGCTTTAAAAATTTCATAATTGAAGAATGTGTCGAAAATTAGGTCAACCATCGATATTGATGGAATGGGTATAGAGTGCTATCAACTTTAAGTTCAACGAGGAATACGCTTGTTAACGAATAGACTTACCGTATTGAAATTCAGCAGCATTAACAATACCAAGCTAGATGAGATAAATGTTATCGACAATGATAGGCACTTCATCTTGATTGAATTATTGGAAAATGGAACTTAGCAATCAATCGAAGCAAATTTGAACTAGACAGTCTTTCTATTGAAATTTTGTCTAGATTTAAACGGAATACCAGCTATTTTAATCGATAGCTTAAATTTTTTTAATCAATTTTTCGCTATCGGTAATGTTCTGTAAAAAGAATAAAGAAAGCAATCAGGGACAATTTAGTAAATGAAGAAAAACTGATTAAGAGGCCGAAAGTAAAGACTAAGAAAATATATTTTGATGAATCGATGATTACAAGACACTAATATCAAGTATAGAGAGCTTCTTTAAAATTGTTTGATGTAATATGGCGAAATTTAAATTCAAGATAAATAGTGAATACTTTCTAACCCAATACGAATTCGATCCCAAGAGTAGAATCTAGCAAAGACTTTCCGTTTATATTATAATTGAAATATGATCGTGTAATATGATGATGATAGTATTACAAATATAACAATTTATAGAATGCATCTGTATTTAAATGATGATGATAAGTTGTTGTCTGATCGACATTAAAAAGTATCGAGGGAAAATTAATTAAAAATCTCAGCCAAGCTTTAAAAACGGAGTCAATACAAAAAGAAAAATTAAAATAAAAATCGATTGTAAGGAAAACTTGTACAATTTAATTGTCATCGGCGCTTTAATATTGTTTCAATGGTAAAAGAAGTTATTGAAATACATGAAAATATTCCTATGATGACTGTGTAGTCATTTCGATTGGATGACAACAACTTAATACAGTGACTACCATTAAATCAATACACTACAAGATAGAATAAATCAAAAATTATAGTTTTTTTATATATCAAAATAGCATAACACTATTTTAATCATCGTGATTTGTAACTCAGTTGTGGAAACTCTAAAGGTTATAAAGTAAATGACTATAATGCACTATTGATGTGGTATGATATTTTAGGGCATTAATAACATGCATCTTTGTCAAAATTTAACCGCAGAAAAAAGTATGACTTTCGAGATTAGTATTGATATGTGATAAGTGTTTGGCTCATAATGATCATTAATGGTCTAGCTCAGTTACGGTATTCAATCTTCTTACTTAATGATATGAAAATAAGAAAGCTTACCTTGCAATAATGTAATTGATCGCTAGAATCTTTCTGTACTGGTTGATATCAGTTTACAGTAAAATAACTTGGCAATGATCCAATTTCCACAATGTTATTTTAACGGTCTAATAGTTCTAGGACTTGTCTACTTTATGATAATAGAGCTATGATTAACTTCTTATATAGATTTGACGATGCTTATCTATGCGAGGTAACGTACTGTGTAAAAAAATGGTGTAAATCAAGTTAAATTAAAATAGAGAAAATTTCCAGGTAATTGAAAAGTTGCATTGAATATAATCAAAAATAATGGCCGCCAAAGATGATCGATTTTAATTTGATGACGGTGTCTTGTTTTCAATCATATCAAGTTGAGCAAGTTACTATCATTCGTATAATATATTTCAATATTGAGTAGATTTCCTCGTTTTTTGTTTAAACTCAGCTCAATAATGATCAGTGCGTGTGTTTTTATTAGTGATTAGTCCAATCCAATGGCTGTTGCGATTGCTCGAAATGATTCAAGTGTGCATCTAATATAACATTCCACTTTGACTACTTTGAAAGTTGATTTATGTTTGTATGTGATGAAAACTTATGTTCCTTATTATGAGAAAGCACTATCCACTCGTTGAAGCTTTTTCTCTACCTCTATTTATATCGTTGGATGATTTCTTACCACTACAATACCAATTAAAGCGGCGACAAGTTAGACCAGGTCATTCAGCTTGTTCAATAATTTGATGAATCAATCAGTGTAGTTTAGTTTACAAAATTTTTTCCCTTTCTCTTTCTCCTAAATTTTCTCTTTCCTTGTCGATTCGACAGTTGTAGATTATCAACACTATAATGCTACTAACTACTCCATCGACTACTCATGCCGGTCTTTATATACATATCGCGTATAGAGGATGTTTCTACAACACAATACAGTTAATTGACTATTCAATTCAATAGATTCTTTGTAGTTATTCTCTTGAACTCCGCCTTCTATTCTTCTTCAATAATAATAATTGTCTCTATTGTGTTAGTAGTGTTAGTTTATGTCTGGAGGCGGTCTTTTAATAGATTACTACAAATTATCTCTATACAATAGACTGATCTAATTCAAGACAGATGATGAGCGTACGATGGTGCTGAGCAGATTGCAGACTGTGCTTCACGTGTCACGAGTTGTGACGTCGTGGCAAGACCGCCTTGATCGAGTCAGTTGATAGTATTGAGCGGGATTGAAGTATAACATTTTAAATAGTATTTAGCACGTACTGTATGGGCCGCACGTGTAGCAACATCTCAGCTGACGTTTCTACGTCAATATTGATTGCTGCGAGTCATCAACACTTGATACTAGTCATACAGGATCAACTGCTGTTCTACGGTACCTAATTGATATTTTACAGCATTTAGCCTGGAATAACAAATATTGTAATAGTAGCTCTAGATAGCCTACTGTATGCATATTTACATAAAATCCATTAAGAGTAAAAAATGAACGATTTAAAAGATAAGTAGACTCTATCTT